TTCTCAGGGACATGTAACACTGCCGTGTTTCTCGGGGAACACTCTACCTGGGGTAAAGCTCCGCCCATAGGAAATGGCTCAGTCACATAGGCAGGATGCATTTGTGCCATCCTCAGTGAGGCTTCTGGTGTGTAAGGTTGGCTAGTTGGAAGGAAAGAAAGAAGGAAGGAAGGAAGGAAGGAAGGAAGGAAGAAAAGGAGGAAGGAAAGAAGAAGGGAAGGAAAGAAGAAGGGAAGGTAGGATTAAGAAAGTAGGATCAAGTGCAGTGATACAAGAAGTAGATATGAGAAGGTAGGAAGGGAAGAGCAGTTCACAGGAAGAGAAAGCTAGTCAAGCCAGTGTCCTTGTGTTAATCATATTCTATTATAGTCCAGAGTTATACAGTAAGCCCTCACTTAACGTCGATAGGTTCTGTGACTTTAAATGAAATGACTTATAATGAGCCTAGTGTTACCATAGGCTAATTTGATATAAACAAGTTAAGTTCCTGTGGCATCTCAATGACATTGAACAAAATTATATTATTCAAGGGCTTGCTGTGGGAGAAGAGGTTTTGAAAGACCTGAAGGTCAGCAAGGTGGAGTGTGCTTATGGCCATTTCTCCCGGAATCCTAACCGTGGCTTACACATATTGTAGATGCTGTCGGAGATGACACCGAGTGCTGTGACTCAGAGTTTGGTCATGCGGGTGGTGGAAGTGGAGTTCTTACAGCGTCACAAGGAAAGCATTGCGGGAGACCCACATAGGGGAGATTGTGTTGTGATTAAGATTTATTTGTGGCACCAGATGCAAAATCAAGAGTGCCCATTCTGGGTTCCCTATATCCAATCTCTGTCCCTCCCGCCATGGGAAGATTCCAGTCTTGTCTCCATCAAGGCCAAAACAAAGGTCAGTGTCCGGAGTTTCTGTGCCATATTGAAGCTTAGTTCTTTGGAGCCTGCACGGTTTGCAGTGGGACTCAGGTGGCTGCTAAGTGGTCTCAGTCCCTGTCCAGGTAGCTTAGTGCTGTTCCCATCGGCCATCAGTTGCTGTGCTGCTGTATTCAGGCTCCTGCCTGAAGCCTGCGTTTGGAGAATGAATACTCTCCAAGTATTCTTGCCCCCAGTATTACTGGGGCAAAGTGCCTGTTACTGGGATTCTATCATCTTGGGCTTGGAAAGGGCCAGGCCCGCTTTCAAAATAACAAATCAATTTCCCAAACTTTTGCAGGGCTTGCACTGGGTCCGCCTTCTAACCAATCTGCTCTTTTCCCAGGCTGGACTGACAGGCCTCTATGGTCACCATCTTGGCTACTATTGTGCATGTGCCTACCTCCCTCTTTTTTGTTCCATCCCTTCCTCTAGTGATCTCAGGGGCCAGATGGGCAATTCCCTGGGGAACGTGTGAAGCTGTAACTACTTGGTGAAGCAAGCAGGCTCATGTTCCCCAGTTAATTATGCTCATTAATGTCTGATTCCCTTTCTTTATTAATATCTAGCTACCCACACTAACAGTAATAACTTGGAATGTGGCTAATGAAAGACCTGAACGTTTTCAGTTGGGGGTGGTGGTGGTGCTTATGGTCACTTCTTCCAGAATCCTAGCAATGGCTTACACTTACATGCTAAGAAGACGACAGACAGCTGAAAATATAATTGCAATCAGCACCAGGCCCAAAACAGAGTTGTAAACTAATTACATAGAGGATGTGATTTAAAGTTTTAGAAATGGGTGTAACTGTGCTGATAGCGCCCCCTTCCCATGTGTTCCGCAGACAGAAGAGAAGGGACAGGGTGAACATGAGCAGTATGCCTTTTGTTTTTCATGTGCCTGTCCCTGTGTGAATTGAAGAAGGCAGACAAGGTTTCTACCTGCCATTTTTTTTTTCTCCAAGAGGACAACACTGCTCATAAAAACCTATTCAATGAGTCCTGAGCTTGTTAGGAGACCATGAAACATCAGCCCCTATCCAGTCTTACACATCTTCATTCACATTGGACATTGGAATGGCATTTGTGGATCATATGCCTTGGTCTCCTTCCCTCAGTAGATTCCCATTGCTCCAGATGGCCCCTACACTGGTGAGTGTAATAAATCAGGTAGTCAGGGGCAATTGCCAGGAGGATAAAGCTTATCCTCTTTCTGTCTAGCTCACATACAAGGCTGATCAAATGAAGCACTGTCAATGTCTGGGTCAAACCTTAGTGTGCATCAGAACCCCTGAAGAGCTTGTTAAGCACAGACTGTTGAGCCCTAACCCCTCAATTTCTGATTCATATACTACACTTTGAGAATCACTGAGCTAGGATGTTGTTTTTCAACCTTGTTCGCTACATGTTAGCATCCCTTGGGAAGCTAAAAAAGCAAGCATAAACCTCTCCAAAAAAAACCCCCCACAAAAACAAAACAAAGAAAACCTTGCCTGGATTATATCTGAGATTAATTGCAACAGAATCAATATGGATGGCAATAGATAGTGATATTTTAAAGGTCTCCAGGGGATTCCAATATGTAGCCAAGTTTGAGAATCAGGAATCTAGACTCTTGATCCAGATGCCCATTAATGCAGGTACATTAGGTAAAGTCAATGTCCCCCATCATTGATTCTGAGGCAGGATACTTTTGTAGTCCGGGCACCTTGGGATGAATGTGGCTGGCGATGAATTGTGATGGTAACTGACTCCTCTTGGGTCATGGCTTGAGCAGAATGAAGGTTGAAATGGTAATCGTGAAAAACGGTAGGCAAGCTGACTAGGGAAACAGAAAATGACTTCTGGGGAGCAGTGACAAACCTTTGGAAAGTGGAAACCATACATTTATCCTGGGGTTCTTCCCCCAAATGTGTAATTTTCCCCACTAGTTATTAGCCTGGGCAAGGAAAATGGATATTTCAACTGATCCAGGGTTAATAAACTCCTGGACAGTTGCAGACAGTAGGTCAAAAAAGTTAAGGACATGTGAGAGTGGCTAAAATGATGGTCCTTAGAGTGTAGAGCTTAATCCCAATGATGATCTCAAGAGAAAGTTTTCTTTTCTTCTATACAGGGTGTCCCAAAAAATGTATTCACACTTTGAATATTAATTCCAATGGTTAAATCTGAAAAGAAACATCAATTGAGCTACCAGCCATTAACATACACAATCTCCCTTTCTGAGAATAGTCACTCCCTATTATAGTGAGACAAACACAAAAATCAGACCCCACAGTTGGGGTAGATTGTGACCCAGATGTGGCTAATCCTACTATCCCTTTCCCCTGAATATAATGATTGGTCCAGGGGTGAGCACCAGACCCAAACAGGGCCAATCATAGCCGTTGCCAATTGACATTTGGGACGGACAGTGTAGTTTGAGGCAACATTAGATAGGATGGAAGGAAGGCTACTCCAACCACTTACTTTTGAACGGACACCTGAATAACAAGAATCTGCCTGGCAGGGATGGCTCACTGGTTGAGTGTCTACCTGTGAACCAGGAGGTCACGGTTCCATTCTGACCTCGCTCAAGCCTGGGTTGCCCGCTAGATCCCCAGTGCGGGGGTGTGCAGGAGGCAGCCAATCAATGATTCTCCTTTATCTCTCTCCCTCACCCCTCTTCTCTGAAATCAATAAAAGCACATTGAAAAGAAACAAAAAATCTTGTGCAAAAAAGAGCAGAGGCAGTAACTATCTATAGTACAAACGTTCTGAAGCGAGATGGGCTGGCTGTGCTGGTTCACGACGTAAAAAAGGCTAGCGTAGGAGGAGGCTGTTCCCATTGTGTGAACCTTCAAATTTCAGTCCAAACTTCACCGCGCGCGGCTCCCCCCCCCCCCCCCCCGCCCCCCATAAGCCTTCCAGGACCGCAGGGCAGGTCTTCCTGTGTCCCCAGCTTCTTCCCGGGATCTAGCGGGCCTGTTTACCAGACTCACGAATAAGGGATGTAGGTTGGGGGTTTTAAGAAGGTCCCCCAGTCTCTGCCCGGCGAACTCCCCATCTCTCCAGCCGTCCACACTCCGGGAGCGACACCAGCGCGCGCAGAGCGGCCGGTCACAGGGCGGAAGTTCATCCCAGGAGCCGTTCTAGGAAACCTGGAGGACCCAGCTCCTCAGTGACCCAGGGGCAGAGGTGGGCAATGGCGGGTTCCCAGGGCCACTCCAGGGGGCAGCTTTGGCAGGCGGTGGCGAGGAGGCGCCGGGGATACGGTGCGAGTCCGCAGGAGGCTGAGCGGGAGCGGGGAGGAGGCGCCGGCGTGCGAGCCACCTGCTCCTCCCGCGCGGACAGCGGCGCGCGCTGATTGGCTGGAGCGCCGCCCGGCACCGGAAGTAGCCGGTGGCCGTCGCCAGTGAAACCAAGACAACAGCCGCGGGCAGTGCGCGAGCGGGCGGAGCGGCCCCCGGGAGCCCGAGCCGAGCGAGCGTGGGGCGGGAGCGGCCTGCGGTGAGACCTCGTTCGGTCCCGGAGGGAGGGAGGGAGGAGGGCGCGAGGCTCCTGATTTCCCGGCCCGCGAGCCGAGGGGAAACCCAGCGTCAGGTCAGGCCCGTTCCCGACTCGGGGTCGCTTGGTGACCTTGGACTTGATGGCCAGCCCGGGCCTCCGTGTCCCACCAGCACACGGAGCGTGCGGTTCCGTGCCTGTCAGCCGCGAGGGCGGAAGTAGCAGGGGTTCCGAGGTGGGGGCCAATGGGAGCCGTGGTTTTCTGACATTCCACCCCAAGTCAACTGCGGGGAGGAAATGTGAGGCGCTGTCAAAAACTCAACCCCGGCCCCGCCCCCTTCCAGGCACATCGTGCCTTGTGCCGGCCCCTATAGGATATTGGCTTATGAGGGTTAGTTTTGGGAAGGAGACAAGTAATAGAGCCTTCTTGATTATAGGAACCAGGGGGAGGACAGCGGAAAGGATGATAAAAGTGCTTTAAATTAAATACCATCCCGATTGGGAAAAGGAACTCATTTCTACAAATAGTTATTGTTGTGCTCGCTTCGGCAGCACATATACAAATGGTTATTGTCATCAGCTATGTGTCAGATATTGTTCTAAGCTATTTAGATACACAATGAATGAAATATCTAGTTAGTCCTCAAGGCTATCACAGATTCGTTACGTAGATAAGGCATTTACACAGATTCATTTAACAAAATTTGCCAGGTCCCTGACATGTGCTAGGCACTGGGAATACCAAGATGACTAGAACGTCATCTTTGCTCACGCAAGAGGGAAGCAGACATGAAAGTAGAATAATACAATGAGGTAACTGCTACAAGGCGTCTCAGGGGCAGGGAAGAAAACAGAAGGGACTGTCTGTGCCTGGTTGAGTCCTGTAGATGTTAAGTGCACAAGGTGGCCAGGCAGCGGGAATAACCTGTTTGCAAAGGCAAAGACGCTTTTAAGAATAGGGAGCACTGCAGGATCCTGAGCTTTCAACAGCCATTGGAGAGCGTGGAACAGGTGATGGAAAGAGCGACAGGGGCCTGACCAGGAGGGCATTAGGAGCCATGTTAAGTTTTTATTCTGTAGGTTTTGGGAAGCAATGAACAGGAAGCGACACGATAACTATAGTACAAAGAAAGAGGTGAGTGAAAAGCTGGTTCAGAGGACCAAGAGAGAACCTCCTTCCTGCAGGTGTGAGTGGAAACTTTGGGGAGGAGCTGATTCTTTTTAAAAAATATATATTTTATTGATTTTTTACAGAGAGGAAGAGAGAGGGATAGAGTTAGAAACATTGATGAGAGAGAATCATCAACCAGCTGCCTCTTGCACACCCCTTACTGGGGATGTGCCCGCAACCAAGGTACGTGCTCTTGACCGGAATCGAACCCGGGACTCTTCAGACGCTCTATCCACTGAGCCAAACCGGTTTCGGCAGGAGCTGATTCTTATACTAGATATTGAGTATCTGGCCTTTCAGAAAAGGGAAAAGATTTGTATCAAAAGTAAATGCTTTTGTAATGTAATAAGTAAGACTACAGCTCAAGTTGGCTTAATGCATGCTATTAACTCTCCTCATTGGAAGACAACAGGCAAAGTGGTTTCAGGACTGACTTAATCTCTTGGCCCTGGTTCCATTTCCCCTCAACTTTCTTAGCTTTACCTGCCATCACCCACAACTTGCTTGTGAAATGGCAGTAGCAGTTCCAGGCAACCATGTATAGAAGTCTCTTCCTGAGACTCCTCGCAGGATAGCAGGAAACTATTCCCAGAAGCTCCCAGCAAACTTCCTCGGCTTGTCACTGAGCCAGATGAAGGCATATGTTCACTTCTGAACCAGTTCCTGCTGTTTGGAGCAGTCACTTGCAAATGGATGGTATAATATTAATCTGACTGGGTTAACTCCGTTGAGATTCACTCCTGGAGTTCTGAGAGCAAGGCCACTGCAAACTTTTTTCTCAAATACCCCACACAATAATTTAAAAAGCTTTGTATTCTCTTACATATATGTAAGTTGACATCCAAAATGTTTCATCTTTTAAAAAAAATATATATTTTATTGATTTTGTACAGAGAGGAAGGGAGAGAGAGAGTTAGAAACATCCATGAGAGAGAGTCATCAATCAGCTGCCTCTTGCACACCCCCTACTGGGGATATGCCCGCAACCAAGGTACATGCCCTTGACCGGAATCGAACCCGGGACCCTTCAGTCCCCAAGCCGACGCTCTATCCATTGAGCCAAACCGGTCCCGGCTTTTTTTTCCATAAATTTGAATAGTTGCAAAAGCTATTACTTTTGGTGTATTATAAATTTTGACATTTCAAAATTAAGCCTCATGCCATTTCCCTGCATACCTGTCCTTGGTTCCTTGTGCTCACCACATTCTTCACCTTCTCTGTGACCGCCATCTACCAGCATCCTATTCCTCCCTCCCTCCACTTCATTTGCCTCCCTGTCTCAGTCATCCCAAGTGTGTCCTGATTAACATGCTCAAGTCCCTCCCTCTCTCTTCCATCATGCATATCTCTAGACTCTCAGCTGCCCCGGGGATGTCAGAAGTGTCACTGGAGAAAGATAGGAAGCTATGCCTATTGACTTCTCCTCACACTGATGCTCTCTATCATACTTGTCTCCTAAGGAAGTTGAGAGGGGTTAACAGGCTATTGTCTATAAGTTGCTTAGCACACAGTACATATTAAGCACTCACCATTACTTTCCACATCAAAATGTCAGTGCATCCTCACTTCTTTCTTATCTACACATAATACATTGATGTTAGAATGTTCTTTTTGCTCTTTTATTCCTTCTGTACTTCCTGGCCTCTGATGATTTGCTTACCCCATTCTCTGCTCAAAATGCTATTGTGTAGTAGCCTTTGAACTGAAATACATGGAGAACGTACACAAACCCTTTCTGTAACATTTGTGGGCACATGGGTTGTTGAATGGGAATCAGTTTCTAGATCCTTGACTTCAATATTTATCATTGCTTACAACCAATGTACTTGAGATTGGGCCAGTGGTCTATAACTTTCTCTTTTCCTCCTCTACAAAAGAAAGACACGTCTCTCACCCTCCTGAATTTTGCTATGGTGTGTTACTCTGGGTAGAAAAACCTCTGGAGTAATACATAAAGGGAGGGTTTGATGAGAAAGTAAAGGATCCTGGACCTTTTGTAATTTAAGTCCCAATCTTTGCTTTCAACAAAATTTTTAAAACATCAAATCAAACTGTCAGCTGATAGATTATTTATTTATTACTGCAAATTACAATATGATTTTTGGCAGGTAAGTTTAAAGGATTGAGTGTTATTTGCTATCACAAGAGGTGTTATAAACTCTGACTTATGCAATTTGGGCAAACTCAGGTCCAGTCACAGTATTTAGGGTCAGTCTGATAAGCACAACAGGAATATGATTCTAATTCAGAAAAAGGAATCTAATCACTTGTATTATATCTTCCCTGTCTGCCCTCAGAAAGTGTAGTGGCAGTCAAGATGGGGGATAGGAAAAAAGCATGAACTGACAATGTATCTATAATACTGCTGCTGTGCACATGGTTAGCTACTTGGTAGATCAGACCTTGGGTAGGAATAGATGCACCAGATGGAGAGTGGGATAACTTCAGTCATTAAGACTGCCTAACACAGTATTTCCAAACCTGATAGGTCATCAGAATCACCTGTGATACCTGTTAAAAATATACATCCCTTGGCCCACCTTTGGAGATTCTGATTTTGAGAGTTATGAGATGGGAAATAAATATTTTAAAAGATTTCCCAGTTGATTTTTATGCATTCAGCTTAGTTCCAAGCCAGAGTTATTATTTAAGATTCATCAAAATAGAACAACAACAACAAAAAAACCATCTTGCTATGATCGTAAGCCTACTAAACAATTTTCAGAGCCTACTAAGCAATTTTCAGTGTTTTATGTGGTTTCCATTGTAGATTTTCATCTTGGCATTGTAGTCCTTTTAGAACATATTTCTCATTGTTAATGAATAGGTGGGTATCTGGTTTATGCATTAGTATTTTGTGAATGAGGTTTTCTGAGCCTGCTCTAGGATGCATTAAACACACACACACACACACACACAACACAAGTCCAAGTCTGCAGCTCTGAAGACTCTATTCTGAACCGTGGAGATCCAGTTGAGGTCTTCTTGTTAACCCCCAGACTGAAGACCAAGAATGGTCATCCTCAGGTGGCACCTCCATCTTATCTCTCTCCAGAAACAGCTAATTTCAATTCAGAAAAGTGAAGTGAGAAACAGAAAGATAGGAAATTAGGTTTGGAAATGTAACTTTAGCCTATGAGTAGTAGAGTGTTTTCATGTGAGGATGAGGTTTAATGTGTGACTGTTCCTCTGGGAAAATCAACCAAATGGAGATTGGCCTTGATTTTTATATGAGGAGATACCTGTAAAGCAGTATTTTCCAGATGACATTCATATTGTGTCACTGGTAGAATGCGAAGCAAAAGAATGGTCAGATTGGTCAAATTTAGTAAATGACATTAATAGAGTGTCATTGGTAGAATGTGAGGCAACAGAATGGTCAGATGGGGTCAAATTTAGTTGGGGAAGACTTTCTGGATTTGAATTTTGAACCAGATCTTGAAGCTGGAGATAGGTGCTTACCTAACTTTTATATCTTTATCTTGTTTTATGGTGTACAAGTGATTTTCCATATGGTGTGGCCATGAATGATGATTTTGTAAAGAGCTAGATGATGGAAAAGAAGTAACTGTAGGAGAGATGAGGGTGAGAAGGAAAGGCCAGAGAGAGGGCCTGAAGTATTATAATTTGCTGAAAACACTATTAAATATTATAGATAGGGACTTGTTCTTGGCTGAGTATTAGAGAGAAATTTAAGACAGTACGTTCCAACTCAAGTGGTACTGTGGGTGAAGATAGCTAAATTCTCTACAATGGATCCTTACAATTATATGGACATGTATTATCTATAATTTTCAGTAAATAAGAGAAATCCAGTTTTGGGTTGCCCAACTACTCCATGGGAAAATAAGAGAAATGCTAAGGCAGGAAAGTTGAAGAAGATTCCAGTTTATTTTGAGGAGTAGCACTAAGGGTTTCCAAGGCTTCAGGATTCCAATAGGAGATAAGTTCCTAGCAGGTGTTGGAGGTATTGAGGGGGGCAGGGAGACGGGCGAGGGGCAGTATTACCAGGCTGCACTGATGAGTGACTAAAGAGGCCCCAGGGTAGGATTGTGGTAGTAACTACCATCCTGAGGATGACTGGGGTCATAGTTATATTTAATCACCTTTTATCTTGATTACTTCAACAACCTTCTAACCGATTTCTCTGTCTAGGAATAGTACGTTCTAGTTCAGCCACTGAACGGCCACTGGTGTACATCTACCTAATGTTAGCCTGACAACGGACTATTCTTGGTTTAACTAAAGTCCCATAGGTGCCCATTCCCCTTGAGAATCACCTTTCACAGTTAACACTTTTACTAATGGGATGATCGTGTTCCTCAGATTTGCTATGGTACAAAAATCCACTGGCCTAGGCAAAGGGCCTCTTCAATGTTAGCTTCATATTGCTTACTACCTGAACAGAGACCAGGCTTATTCTCCCATCATTTGGACTTTACTTCTGTGACTGGGACAGCTAAATTCCTAGGGCAATTGTGCCAGTTAGGAGTAGTGGCTTTATAAATAAAAAACAAAACACACAATGGCTCAAGCAAGGCAAAGTATTTTTTTCTTAAATAAAAGAAGTACAGAGGCAGACATTCCAGGGCTGCTATGTCAGCTCCATGGAATCATCAGGGACCCAGGTTCTTTTCAGCTCTAGTCCTATCATAGGGAATGCCAGAGTACTCATGGTTCAAGACAGCACTCCAACTGTCAGCTCGTGCCCCAGGCATAAGAGGGAAGAAAAGGGTGAATAAATGCCATCCTCTCACCCTGAAGGAGACCTCTCATAAGTTCTATGTTTTTTCATTTGCATCATCTTCTCTTGTTGGCCAGAAGTTGGTCACATGGTAATACCTAGCTGCAAAGAAGTCTGAGAATTTCTTCTTTTTCCTTCAAATTAAAAGAGAAAGTTTATATAGAAAGATACAGAGGTAGTAAAAGTGAGCTGTAGAAGAAATGGGCTAAGGAAATAAATTACAAAGGCAAAAGGCCCTGCTATAACTGGTTTGGCTCAGTGGATAGAGCATTGGCCTGCGGACTGAAAGGTCCCAGGTTCGATTCTGGTCAAGGGCATGTACCTTGGTTGCAGGCACATCCCAATGGGGAGTGTGCAGGAGGCAGCTGATCAATGTTTCTCTCTCATTGAAGTTTCTAACTCTATCCCTCTCCCTTCCTCTCTGTAAAAAAATTAATAAAATATATTAAAAATAAAAGCAAAAGGCCCTTGGAGTGTGGGAAAGTACACTTAAAAAGAAGATTTGAATGGGCATGCTCTGGAGGTAGGGGGTGGGGGAGAGAGCCGAGAATTTATTTATTTAGCTAGGCTTTTTACTATATTAAATTAATTCATTATTCTGTTGCTGATGAGGGAGGGAAGAATGGAAATTGGGATAGACAACTAAAAATCTTCGCCACAGCCTTTTAAGAAGTTTTAAAAAAGTATAGGCTTTAGATGGGGGTGTGTGTGGGGGAGATAAGGACACATATGTAATAACTTAATCAATAAAGAAATTTTTTAAAAAGTATAGGCTTTGGGTCTATAAACATACTAAGAAAATTCTATAAAGGGACCAGTTACAAAATTGGTATGCAAAAATCAACAAAATTGCTATCTATATAAATAATAACCAATTGGAAAATATATGAAAAACATACTAAAAGAAAATTCATACAGAGACATGATAGATACAAACATTAAGATAAGTTAGGAAATTTTACAAAATTATACTAAAATTTATTTAGAAAAATATTAAAATAGGAAATATGTGAAAAAGAAGACTAATGAGAGAGAACTTGCTCTAACATTTTAAACAAGCTATAGTAGTTTGAACAATTCAGTATTAGAGAGCAAATCAACAGATTAATAGAACTAAGTGGAGTCTGAAAATTGACCCAGAAATTAACCCAAATATATATGGCCTTTTAGGACAGTGATCGGCAAACCGTGGCCCCTTGAGTGTGGCTCTTCCACAAAACACCACAGCCTGGGCGAGTCTATTTTGAAGAAGTGGCATTAGAAGAAGTTTAAGTTTAAAAAATTTGGCTCTCAAAAGAAATTTCAATCATTGTACTGTTGATATTTGGCTCTATTGACTAATGAGCTTGCTGACCACTGGACTAGGATATAGGTGACATTTCATATCGGCAGCAGAAAGAAAAATAGTTATTTATACAATTTGCTAACTATCTGGAGAGAATTAAGCTAGAACCTTCATAAAAATGTAAGGGAGTCAAAGGTAGACGTAACTACTTTTGTGCTAGTTATAGCTAAGTCACGTTAACTGTTTGAATGGGTACATATACAATCCCCTGTTCTGTAAAGCTGGTGAGTACCACAGTACTGGGCTCAGGAAATTTCTCTTGCTACTCATTTTATGGTAACTTTTCTATAAATCCAAAAGTTGTTTGTATTAGTCATTTTTTGCCCCTTCTCCCAACCTTTTCTATACCATATAGCCACCATTTCCCCTAAATGTTTTTCTTGCCAAACCTCAGGTTCTTCCCCAACTCATTGTTAATGTTATGGAATTTTAATCAGCACCTCCTTACCATCCACTTCCTTTTTTTCTCCTTAACGCTCTTCCTCTGATAATTTATCTTACTCTTTTCAGTTAGCATATGCTATATGTTTAGCATGTCCACCATAATTATTAACATCTTCCTTCTCTTCAGTTACATTCTACAATTTCACCAGGTACCAAGACTGTTTTTGAGTGTTGTCAGAGCCATGTCAATGCTCCATACTCTTCTAGCATTAGTTTCATTTAGATATGATATGGCCTCTTCACATACTTACTCTCTCTCATTTCAGATTGTAAGATGGGGACTGAGAACAAGGAGGTAATTCCCAAGGAAGAAATTTCTGAAGAATCTGAGCCACATGGGGCAATATTAGAAAATCCTCCAAAGTTAGTTTACGAGGGTCACGAGTTTGGAGTGGCATGTGAAGACAGTTTGGAGGGGCATTCAAGAGAATCCACAGAAGAGATTATGGAGCAGATGTCTTCTGAGGAGAGAGACTTCGAATCAGGGCTGATTATTTTTAAGAAATCACCTTCAAGTGAGAAATACCAGGAGAATGAAAGTGACAGAGTCTGCAATTCCAGCCCAGACCTGATTACACATCAGGGAGATATTACAGCACAGACAGTTAGTACATTTGCTATCTCTGGCCAAAACTTCATAGAGAATTTAGAACCTAAAAAAACACAGAGAAGTTCTGTGGGAGAAAAGCCTCATACATGCAAAGAATGTGGGAAATCCTTTAATCAGAATTCACATCTTATCCAGCATATGAGAGTTCATAGTGGAGAGAAACCCTTTGAATGCAAAGAATGTGGAAAAACATTTGGAACAAACTCAAGCCTTCGTAGGCACCTGAGAATTCATGCTGGAGAGAAGCCCTTTGCTTGTAATGAATGTGGAAAGGCTTTCATTCAGAGTTCACATCTTATTCACCATCATAGAATTCATACTGGAGAGAGACCTTATAAATGTGAAGAATGTGGTAAAGCCTTCAGTCAGAATTCAGCCCTTATTCTACATCAAAGAATCCACACTGGAGAGAAACCATACGAATGTAATGAATGTGGGAAAACCTTTAGGGTTAGCTCACAGCTTATTCAGCATCAGAGAATTCATACTGAAGAAAGATATCACGAATGCAGCGAGTGTGGCAAAGCCTTCAAGCATAGCTCAGGCCTTATTAGACACCAGAAAATTCATACTGGAGAAAAACCATATCTTTGTAATGAATGTGGAAAAGGCTTTGGTCAGAGTTCTGAGCTTATCAGGCATCAAAGAATTCATACAGGGGACAAACCATATGAATGTAATGAATGTGGAAAAACTTTTGGCCAGAACTCAGAGATTATTAGACATATTAGAATTCATACTGGCGAGAAGCCTTATGTATGTAAAGAATGTGGGAAGGCCTTTAGGGGGAACTCAGAACTTCTTAGACATGAGAGAATTCATACTGGAGAGAAACCCTATGAATGCTTTGAGTGTGGAAAAGCTTTTAGGCGGACCTCTCATCTTATCGTCCACCAGAGGATTCATACTGGAGAGAAACCTCATCAGTGTAATGAATGTGCAAGAACCTTCTTGGATAAATCTGAGCTGCTGCTTCACCAGAAAATTCACATTGGAGAGAAACCTTATAAATGTAATGAGTGTGGGAAAACATTCAGCCAGCATTCTCAACTTATCATACATCAGAGAATTCACACTGGAGAGAAGCCTTATGAGTGCCAAGAATGTCAGAAGACTTTTAGTCGGAGCTCTCACCTCCTCCGACATCAAAGTGTTCACTGTATGGATTGATTTGCAAAATAGGAAGGCTTTCCGTGGAAAGCTGAAGTTAGACTTATTCATAACCTAAACCCAGTTTTTCAAATCAACTGAATGGAGAGAACCTCTTCTGTCCTGATTTTAATTTAAACATTTGGTCAAATAGTATGAGGCACTTTTATGATTTATTCATTTAGAAGTTTCAGTGTACTGAGTTAAATTATAAAAACTGTTTCAGGCCTTAATTCTCTGCCCCTCTTTCCCTCTTCCTCCCTTAGTGAGTCACATACCATTAGGGGTTTGTATACCAGCCATCTAGCCTCCATTTGTACTCTTCAGGAAAACTGGAGGAATGTTATTCCTCCACTTCCTAAGAATGGGAGTCAACTCATTGAATGTTATCCCCTAAAATGCTGGAAAGTTGCAGCCTAAAAGACACACTTTGTTCTCTTGTCCAATATTTAGCACTGGAATAATTTAGTAAGCTTTTATTAGCTTCAGATCCTTTCGAACATACTATCAAGTTCCCATTGAAGATGGCAGCATGAATAAAATGGAAATCTGGATATTTAATAATGACCTCAAAAAGGTTTCCAGGACAGAGGAAACTGACCGGCAAATTATAGGGTCATAAGTAAAGGCCCTTAGAATCTAGAGGGGCTGGTGAGCAAGGCCAGGGGATGGAAAACACGTGAGGCCAGCATGGGCAGAGCAGCTTATTAGCAGCTATTTCACATTGGGCTACTTTGACTAACTGCTCCCAGGAACTTAGCTGCATTCATTTTGGCCCCAGCTCCTGCTGCTTCTGATAGATACCACGTCAGGAAGTAGCAGAGAGCATGGTGCAGCTTTACTATCACCAGACACTTGGCCACAGTTATGATCCGGTTCACCTGACTGGCCAGGGCCATCTTGCCAAAGCACTTAATACTCTCATGACCTGGATCCCAATGGACTGATAGGACTTTTCTAATTTTGCCCTTGGCCTTGGAATTCTCTTTCTTCAGCCTCTCTACATGAATTTTCTCTGTTCCTCCTATGTATTTTTCCTTTGAGGAAATACATCCTCATTTTTTCACATGTTTCTGAGGCAGTGGGTGGGAGTGGGAATTGCACTAATGGGGACCCTGCAGGCTTAGGGTCTGGTTTTAGAGCTATTGTAGATCACCTGTTAGTTCCTAATTTTCTCTAAAATGAGGGGAGTTGAACTAAATTATCTCTGAAGTTTCAATCAATCCAATAGTTCTTTGGTTCCTTTTAAAATCTAACTTTATATACCTTAAGTGTTTTATTTTAAATTTTTCCTTTATTACTCTAATACTAATCACTAGTATTTATTGTGTTTCCTACATGACAGGCACAATGCCAGTTTACACTTTTATTTTCACAGCATATCTATGGTCTAGGCCAGTGGTCGGCAAACTCATTAGTTAACAGAGCCAAATATCAACAGTAAAATGATTAAAATTTCTTTTGAGAGCTGAAAACCGACTTTTGCACATGGGCCATGAAGTTTTATTTTTATTTTTTTAAAAAATATATATTTTATTGATATTTTACAGAGAGAAAGGGAGAGGGATAGAGAGCTAGAAATGTCGATGAGAGAGAAACATCGACCAGCTGCCTCTTGCACACCCCCTACTGGGAATGTGCCAGCAACCAGGGTACATGCCCTTGACCAGAATTGAACATGGGACCTTTCAGTTCGCAGACTGACGCTCTACCACTGAGCCAAACCGGTTTCGGCGGGCCACGAAGTTTTAATCGCACTGTACGTGCATGCCTGCACGTGGTATTTTGTGGAAGAGCCACACTCCAGGGTCCAAAGAGCCGCATGTGGCTCTTGAGCCATGGTTTGCCCACCACTGGTCTAGGTACTCTTAGTCTTTTAAAACAGCTTTGTTGAGCATACTTTACATACCATAAAATTCACCTGTTTTAAATGTTGAGTTGAATGCTTTTTAGTTGGTTTACAGTTGCACACCCATCAATAATGAGGGTAGTCCTACTCCAATTTAAAAGATGAAGATGGGTAGGAGGGATGCTAAGTAACTTACCCATGATCACACAGCTGGTAAGAACCCAAACTCCATCCCTGGTCTGTGCTTTTAACCACTGTGCTGTGCTATGGCTAGATGGATTCATTACTGGCTTATTTGAAGTCATTTGCACATTTTATATTATTGCTTCATAGACTTGAATATAAAGGATTTATATCAAGTACTTGGGAAAATAACTGGTCACAGCCAAAACCCACCAAGTGGATTTGTTCTGTACCCCAGTATATGATCTTCCAGATTCATACCTGTAACAGTCAAATTAGCAGAAGTTCTTTAACATCTTTTTCTATAGGGTGATTACAAGTGAAGTGTAATCTCAAGCTCAAATTGAGTTATAGCCAGATCATATCTTTCTCAGACGAAACCTCGAGGTCACCTATCCCTTTAACTTCTGGTTTCTGTGTTTGTATATTTTATTTCCACATTCAACCCTTACCAGCCCTTAATTTAGATTCCAGCACCTCTCCAGATCCCCCTCATCCCCAAGAATCCCCTCACACAAGCACACCCATGATTAATATGACTTTCCTGAAGATTCTGTTGTGTAAGAGGTGGAGAAGTGGGTTCACATCCTATCAGACATTTTGACCTCAGATGTCCCTTGGCCAAACCACCGCTGAAGTTTTTCTCTGTCCTCCCTCAGGGCTCTGTCACCTTGGCTCCCTTTTTATTTTTTCTTCAGATATCCAATCCCTGTCCTCAGTGCAATTACCTTGTTACACCCACTGCTCAGCAAAAGAAAAGTCCGTCAGTTAACAATCCACTCATTGGGACATTCATTAGTAGGCAGTTAAGTGACCAACTTGCATGTACCTAGCATATTGGGGGGTAGGTCTCACATTCCATTTCAAGAAGAATCTTCCAACAAGAGGAATTCAGGTGAATGAAATTATTCCCTCGTTGTTATATATACTATACACACATCCAGTGACCTCATTCCCTACTATTGTCCATTTCTGTTGCCTCTGGGTTTCTCCTTGTTTGCCTCCCTCCCTCTCAATTTACTTGGGAGTCAAAACCTGACCATCAGTTTGACTGGTAGTCACAATTTGGTGCAAGTAAAATTCTATCAAGGAAGAGAAAAAACATGAATTTTATTAATTTTAGAACCATTTGAAAAACCAGGTCTCATAATCTCAAAGGCCTGCCTAAATACCCACAAAGACCTTCAGAAATTTTGCAGCTATGTCCACGTATGTTTCCATCCTTCCCTAATTAAATGGTTTTACTGGTATGTTAACTTTTGGATAAGTAAAGTATTTCTTCATAATTTTACTGATTCAACACCTTTCTGATGTTTATTTTAAAGTACATTGTTTCATTATGGTCTTAATATGATTTTGTATAATAGTCCCTATCCTGTGTCACCATAGTACCCCACCCTGTTGTGCTCTGTTAGTGTCTGGTTTTGCATAAGCTGATCACTCTGTCCTTGATCTTCTGTTCTGCTTAGTGAGCTCCTTTACCTTTCATAATGGGACAAGTGTTAACCTATTTGTTTATGTTTGTGTGTGTGTGTGTGTGTGTAGTTTTTCATGATTAACAACTTAATGTAAGATATTCTGAGAACTTGGAGGTTTTTTTTGTATGTGTGTTTTTAAAATATGTATTTTTATTAATTTCAGAGAGGAAGGGAGGAGAAGAAAAAGAGAAACATCAATGATGAGAATCATTGATGGGTTCCTTCCTACACACCTCCTATTGGGAATTGAGCCCAAAACCAGGGCATATACCCTGATGGGGATAGAACCGTGACCTCCTAGTTCAATGCTCAACCATTGAACTATGCTGGTTGGGTGGATTCATTTAAAAAAATATATATATATTTTATTGATTTTTTACAGAGAGGAAGAAAGAGGGATAGAGAGTCAGAAACATCGATGAGAGAGAGACACCAATCAGCTGCCTCTGCACACCCCGTACTGGGGATGTGCCCGCAACCAAGGTACATGTCCTTGACGGGAATCGAACCCGGGACCCTTCAGTCCGCAGGCCGATGCTCTATCCACTGAGCCAAACCGGTCTCGGCTGTTTTGTTTTGTTTTAAATCACATTATTACTGAGATGTCTGGGCTGGTGTTTATTATTGTTATTGGCTAAGGTACATTAAAAAAAAAAAGAAAGTGTTCTAAGTGATTCCTGGTCTAAGGCAAGCCCCTAAGGTTGTTAGGTCAGGGAACTTTGGAACTCAGGAAAGCTCTGTCTACAAAAATGTGCATGAGTTTCAGGGAATTCGTGGACCATCTGAAACCCATCCTTGAACCCCTGTAGTACTTTACAAGTTCCTAAAAGCAAAGTTTTACCTTAAAAAACAACAACAAAAAAACAACAACCAAGTAATCACAATAACCTTTCCCTCACTGCATCCTTCAGCTTTTGGAATAAAACTATGTGAAAATGACCTGCATAGGCCAACCCCCGAAAATGGACTGGAGATGGCGTCTCAGTAAAATCTAGTGGACGGGCTAGGACGATCTGGTAATCACCTGCGGAGAGAGCCCAGTAGTGCAGATGGGTGCACATTCACCAGCTACTTGCTGAGCAACTATTAGGCAATAAGGGCAGTTCTGGGTTCGGGGGCTAAGCAGTAAGAGGCTGGTGAGGACATGAGCAATCTACCATCTACCTGATTGAGGTTGAGATTTGATTCCCAGTCAGGGCACATGCCCAGCTCTATCCCAGTGGGGGGCTGATCAATGATTCTCATCATGGATGTCTCTATCTCTCCCTCTCTGAAATCAATAAAATTATATATTTTAAAAGTTCCCCATAAATAGTTTCTGAGTCCTCATAAATACCTGTTGAGTTGCAGCAAGCCCTGGTACCCTTCACTCCCCTGCACTCTGTCCTGACAGAGATTGCCTTATGCGGGGACCCATAGTGTACAGTGCCTGGCCGCATGCCGCACTACCTCTGGGCACAGAGCTGACAGTTATTTTTCCTTCCTGACCTTAGTTTCCTGTTTAGGAAACAGTAGTTTTCACCAATGAAGACCAAGGCAAAGAATACAAGAGAAAATTGGAGTTAAGTCTTTATCACAGTAGCCAGCACATAGGAAATGCTAAGACTAGAGTGAGTTAAGGAGGGAGGGAGCTTTCCTGGCAGAGCGAACAGCTGTGGAAAGGCCACAGGCAAGAGGCCAGTGCCTCGGTTCTTGGGGGAACTGCAGATAGTTCAGAGGTAAATGTCGGATTTAGGAAGATAAACACATTGCAGAAAATCCTCCCCAACTAGGTCGAACCCCACTGCAGTATCTTGCCTCTCCTTTGTGACACCATGGTGCTAATTTTACTTATGATTCTAATTAATCTCACCTCTGATCCACCAGGGCAAAGATGGTTGTCTATTTTTGCTCACCCCTCTTTGTAACCCCCCCCCCCCCCGTGTCTGACACATATTGAAGCTCAATAAGTATTTACTAAATGAGCGAATGAATGGAGCCATATCAGAACGTGTGTGTCACATTAAGGACTGGGCTTCAGGCTTGGGTTAGTGGGAAAGCACTGCAGAAGTTTAGCGATGGGTGGCACTATCAGATTTGTTCTAAAGAAAGGACATTTGGTTGCTCTGTAGAAAGATGGAAGCAGGAGGCCTATTATGAGGCTGTAGTAATAACACAAGCAAAAGGTGTTGATGGTGGCCTCACTCTAAGGACATCAAAAATTGAGAAAAATGGATTTAGCTGGCAGATTATTGGGTGACATTCCCTTCCTCTACTATACTCACATGCTTTCTCCCCAATAGCCTTGTTTCCTATGAAATATTTATATAAAGAAACCCCTCTTTTTAAATTTATTTTATTTTTAAATATATTTTATTGATTTTGTACAGAGAGGAAGGGAGAGAGATAGAGAGCTAGAAACATCGATGAGAGAGAATCATCGATCAGCTGCCTCTTGCACACCCCCTACTGGGGATATGCCCACAACCAAGGTACATGCCCTTGACCGGAATCAAACCCGGGACCCTTCAGTCCCCAAGCCGATGCTCTATCCATTGAGCCAAACCGGTCCCGGCTAAAGAAACCCCTCTTAATCCACTTTCCAATCACACCTGTTTCTTAAAGAGACCTGATAATGTCTCTGCCTTGGTCAACCTGGAGTTTATATCTTGAGCTATTTAAGGTCTAATGGCAGACTTTTATCCTTTTGGTTCTTTTTTTTTTCAAAGTTCCAGAGCAGGCTGTCTCTAACAGGTAGATAATATTCTGTGCAATTCAAGTGTACAAACGGACACGACTACATCCACTAAAACTTTGGGTGGATCTTCATTTCATAAATTGCCTACTTAACTGAAGATTAATTCTTGTCTTCCCTCAGCCTCCACTGCATTGTAAGCTCCTGGAAGAACTGTCTTTCTCTAGCCCTATCACATTATGACCCTTGGCACATATTAGGCACTCAATTATTTCTTGCATTTATTTTATTTTAACATTTACAGTTGAAAGCATTTCCATATTGAAACAAAAATCTCCCTCTGTTTTCAAAAGTCCAATACATTCAATATAGTACAAGCTCTATCAGGGATGAAATGAAAAGGTTAGTTTTCAATTTGAAGTGTTCAGGCAATAGTTACTCTTTAAAAGCCCAAAGCAAATTATATATTTGCCCACAAAAGAGATAAAAAGACTAATGAAAATGTTAAGAAATGTACTTTGGATTGGAATTTTAATTCCTAGGTCTGGTTACATTACACAAATCAGAAGCATGATTGGTCATTATACTACATGGATTTGAATAACAAAAAGAACTCATTATCCTATCTAATAAAGGAGTAATATGCAAATTGACCATCACACAATATGACTGCCCTCACATGGTCAAAGATGGCCACCACAGATGGACTGTAGGGGAGGGCAGTTAGGGGTGACTGGGCTGGCAGAGGAGGGTAGTTGAGGGCAACCAGGACAGCAGGGGAGGACAGTTGGGAGGGACCAGGGGCAACTAGGGTTGCAGGGGAGGGCAGTTAGGGGCAATAGGCCCTGCAGGGCAGCAGTTAGATATTGATCAGGCTGTCAGGGGAATGGTTAGGGAGTGATCAGGCTGGCAAGCAGAAGCAGTTAGGGGCAATCAGGCAGGCAGGCAGGCGAGCGGTTGGGAGCCAGCAGTCCTGGATTGTGAGAGGGCAGTCGGACATCCCTCGAGGGGTCCTAGATTGGAGAGGGTGCAGGTTGGGCTGAGGGACAACCCTTTCTCCCCCCCCCCCCCCATGCATGAATTTCATGCACTGGACCTCTAGTTCTTTAATAAATGCAGTTTGGTAAGCAAAAGATTTTAAAACATGGCACAGGTGAGTAAAAAAAAAAAAAAAGGGCCTGATATTTAGAAAGTTAGAAACCACTACATTAAATTACCTTCAAGTCCCTTTCAATGTCCTACTTATCCTTGTAAACATCTTTCTTATTGTACAACATTGTACATACAGGTAAAGGACACAGACATGGGTTTATTAGAATAAAGTACTAATTCCTTTTTAAAAAAGAAATATAGAGAGAAAGAGAATGCTAAATGTCCCAGTTAACTAATGGTTTTCATTAGTTAGAATCTGGGATAACTAAAAAATGTTAAGTATCTTTCATTTTTAATTCAAGTGTATCATTGATAATAGCTAGTTTGAATTCCTTTTGCTTCCCAAATATATTTAAAGATATTCTCATGTATAAGATTATTACTTTACCTAATATGTGGGATTAGTCGGGAGCTTTAATATTTGAGGCAGGTGATGGAGGTAGGTAGGCTTCTGTACCACAATCCACAGCCAGCTTTCAGGGGTGGTGTGGGTGGGCTTCTCCACATCAAGACCCCAGGATGTCCCCCTGGGGATGTCACAGCCTCCAGTGCTTTGAACAGGTCATATTCTTCATATCAGTCACAAGATAGCACTGTATCTTATACATTTTATATTTTGCTTGAATACTTCATCTTGTTTTAAAATGACTAGAGTTCCAGATGCCCTTGTATGAGTCTAAATTTCAGTTTTCACGATTAGTCCATGAGGTAGATTATCTTATTACCATTTTATTATTAAGAAAAATTAAAATCAGAAAGGTTACATAATTAATCCAATATTGAAGCCAATATGTTATCCTGGGATGCAAACCCATGTCTGTGCTCCCTGCCCTACACCAGACTGCCTCTTAAAGCAGTTAATCAAATTAAAGGTTTCTATCAGACTCTGGGCTCCCCTGGGGGTGCTCTGCCGCTGCCCACTTCACATGAAGATGCTTTCTTAAGTGGCCCCAGGTGACTGGTGTTCTAAGTGTCCGTGGGCAGGACTCCTCAAGCATGGCGCTCTTGACACTTGGGCCCCATAATTCTTTGTTTGCCAGGGGCAGGCAGGGCTGTGCATTTTAACATATTATATTAGCAACATTCCCGGTCTATATTTTCCCGGCCTGAATTTTCTTCCCAGTTGTGATAACCAAAGTGTCTCTAGACATTACCAAATGTCCCTTGGAGGCAAAATCATTCCAGCTGAGAACCTCTGACCCCTTTCATGTGTCTCCCAAGCTACTCCCACTGAGGAAAGACAGGAGGTTGAAATTATCCTTGCCTTACACCAGTGTTTCCCAAACTTCTCTCATGATGAGAATCACCTGGTGCAGTTGTTAAAATACAGATTTCTGAATCCCAACTAAGAAGTGCTAAACTAGAATTTTGGGGAACATATAAGTAAAATTGTACGCTTAACTAAGTGCTAAGCTAGAATTTTTGGGAACATATAGGTAAAGTTGTATACTTAACTTAGTGCTCTGTCTTAGAGCACTAGTTAAGTATACAACTTTACCTATATGTTCCCAAAAATTCTAATTTAGCACTTCTTAGTTGGGATTCAGAAATCTGTATTTTAACAACTCCACCAGGTGATTCTCATCATGAGAGAAGTTTGGGAAACACTGCACACTGTCCCTTTTGGTAGCTTTCTTATTTGACTCAAAAATTCATATATAGCCGAGACCGGTTTGGCTCAGTGGATAGAGAGTCGGCTTGGGGACTGAAGGGACCCGGGTTCGATTCCGGTCAAGGGCATGTACCTTGGTTGCGGGGTGTGCAAGAGGCAGCTGATCAATGACTCTCTCATCGATGTTTCTAGCTCTCTATCTCTCTCCCTTCCTCTCTGTACAAAATCAATAAAATATATTTTAAAAAAATCATATATAATCTGCCAATAATTTGGAGTACAGAAATATTTGAGGACTGAGTTTAATTGCACAGACAGGCAGGACCTAATTACCAAATTAGTTGGCAGCTTACTCCCCAATTTTCAGATAAGCAGAGTTCAAGACAAAACCACTCTCCCTGTAATCTCCTGACCTTTCACAACTGATGCTTCTAATTCCCACCAACTCATGTAATCTAAATGCTCTGCTCTGGCACTCAGTCTTACCCAGTTCCCCAAACTTCTTGCTCTCCTGTCCCTTGCTCTTTCATTTCCTGATACTACTAGTCACTACTCTTTTTTTGGGGAAACTACTTGCTTAGCTCTTATGTCCTGACCTTCAGTTATCCTGTTGTCAACTCACTTATATTATTTCTTGTTTCCTCCCAAGTAGCATTTCATTATAATCAGCATTTTCACATTTGCATTAGCATATTTTTTATAAAGAAGAAAAAGGGGAACATGAGCATAACATATTCCTAAGGGGGAGAATTCATCCCAAAGATTTAATCAATCACTCTAAAGTACTTAAAGCAGATTTATACTTGTCACTGGACTAGGTAGTCAAGATTGAAATGGCTCCTTTCATGAAGAATTTAGTTTATAGGTTGTCGCTAAAGTAATTTCTAATGCTTTTAATGACAATAGAAGTTTCCTAAAACATTCTCAAGTAATTACATCCTGGGGACCATACTCCAGTCAACTTTGAGGCAGAAAAAGGCTATTATGTCCAAGAGCTTACCACCAGATCACACATGTTTTTCATCTAATAGAATTCTTCTAATGTTTTCCTTTCTTCAAATGGTTTTCATTAATAAAAATCCTCTATAGAGCAATAAGATGTGGTCTCTACCAGGCTTTTTCTACATCATTAGGTTTCTGTTACCTATTAGAATAAGTCCTGCTTGGAGATTTTCTCTCATTTCCAGGTTCCTTTCCAATGGGAAGTTTCTGATGTTTAAGAGCTGTGTGCCCATTGAAGGCCTTTCCACAGCTGCGACATTCAAAGAGTTTCTCTCCAGTGTGAATTATCTGGTGACGAAATAAAGTGTGAATTCTGACTGAAGGCCTTCCCACAATCAAGGCACTCATAGGATTTCTCTCCAGTAAGAACACAATAGTGTTTAATAAGATCTGAGCTTCCCTAACATATTTCCCACATTCATTGCATATGTAAGTTTTTTCTCCACTATGAATTCTATATCTCATAAGGTCTGAGCCCTGATGGAAAGTTTTCCCACATTCTTTACATTCATATGGTTTCTCTCCCATATGAGTTAAATGACGAGTGATGAGGTTTGATCTGCCTTAGAAAGTTCTACCACACTGATAAGCTTTCTCTTCTTGGTGAATTCTTTGCTCTTCTCTAAACAACTCATCCTTACTGAATGTTTTCTTACTTTCTTTCATTTTCTCTCAAGTATGACACTTTTGATGTTTGAGAAAAGCTGTGTGCCAGATAAATGGTTTTCCACATGCCTTACATTCATAGGGTTTGGATTCTCAGATATTGATTAAGGTGTGAACGCTGCTGGAAGACTTTCCCTCATTCTTTGCACTGATAGGGTTTCTCTCCAGTATGAATTTTCTGATGTGTAACAAGGTGAGACCTCTGGATAAAGACTTTCCCACATTCACTACATTCTAGGTTTTCTCTCAATATGAATTATCCAATGCTGAATTAGATTTGAATTTCCCTGGAAAGTTTTTCCACATTCAGTACACTCAAGGTTTTTCTTCCCTATGAATTTTCTGTTGTTTGATAAGGTCCAAGCCAGAAATGCAGACTTTTTCACATTCAAGTTTCTTTCTTTCCAGTATGCAGTCTCTGGTGTTTCAGGAAAGCTGTGTACCCTCTGAAGGATTTCCCACATTCACAACATTCATGGTGTTTCTCTCCACTATGTAGTCTCTGGTGTTCAGGAAGGCCTGAAAGCTGCTGGAAGGCCTTTACACATTCATTACACTTGAAGGAGTTCTCTCCAGCATGAATTTGCTGATGTGTGACAAGGTATGAACTTTGACTAAAGGTTTGTCCACATTCAAAACATTCATAAGGTTTCTCTCCTGTGTCAATTCTGTGATGTATTGTAAGAGCTTTGATTAATGACCTTCTCACATGCTTTACATATATATGGCTTCCCTCCATTATGCATTCTCTCGTGTAGGATAAGGTTTGAAGTTCCCTTGAAGGCCTTCCCACACTTTTTACATTCATAGGGATTCTCACCACTGTGGATTCTCTTATGTCTAAACAGCTTAGAGCTCTGAAGTCTTTCCCACATTCATGATATATATAAGGTTTCTTTCATGTATGAATTCTTTGATGTATAATAAAATTTGAACTTTGATTAAAGTCTGTCCCCACATTCATTACATACATATGGCTTCTTTCCTGTATGAAATCTCTGATGTATAAACAGATTTGAGCCTTAATTACAAGTTTTTTCACATTCCTTACATCATAGGTTTTCTCTCTGATCTTTCTATCTCTCCCTCTTCCTTTCTCTCTGAAATCAATAAAAATATATTTAAAAAGAAAGAAAATCACAGCATTACAGGCCTACCTCAAGAAACAAGAAAAATTTCAAATAAACAATCTAACTTTACACACAAAGGAACTAGGAAAAGAACAACAAACAAATCCCAAAGTAAATAGAAGAAAGGAAATAATAAGGACCAGAGCAGAAATAAACAAAATAAAGTCTTTTTTTAAAAATCAATGAAACCAAGAGCTGGTTCTTTGAAAAGATAAGATTGAAAAACCTTTAACCAGACTCATCAAGAAAAAAAGAGAAAGGACCCGAATAAATAAAATCAGAAATGCAAAAGGAAAAATAACAACTGACTCCATAGAAATGCAAGGAACTGTAAAGAAAATATCACAACCATAAGTCAACAAATTGAACAATCTGAAAAATGGATAAATTCCTAGAAACATATAATTTTCCATAACTGAATCAGGAAGAATCAGAAAATCTGAACAGATTACAACTAATGAAATGGAAGCAGTGATAATGATAATAATAATAATAATAATAATAATAATAAACTTCCTACAAACAATAGTCCTGGACTGGATGGCTTTATAGGTGAATTTTACCAAACATTCAAAGAAGAACTAACAGCTATTCTTCTCAAATTATTCAAAAAATTTCAAGAGGAGGTGAGACATGCAAGCTTACTTTACAAGGCCAGCCTTATCCTAATTGCAAAACCAGATAGATACTACAAAGAAAGAAAATTATAGGTCAATATCCCTGATGGATATATATGCTAACATTCTCAAAAAAGTATTAGCAAACCAGATCCAGCAATACATTAAAAGATCATACACTATAATTAAGTGGGATTTACTCTGGAGATGCAAGATTGCTACACTATCTACAAATCAATAAACTTGATATACCACATAAACAAAATGAAGGATAAAAATCATATACTGGTAACACTGTCAGAACAAACAATTTTCTAAAAACACTGCTTCCCCTGACACCAATGATAAAAAGTCTACCATGAATTTTCTATCACCTATTAAAGGAAACAACGGCCTCTTTTGTACTTACGGCACTGTATTAACATCCTGGGGCTGCCATAACGAAGTCCCACAAATTGGGAGGCTTTACACAACAGAAACTTATTCTCACAGTTCTGGAGGCTAAAAGTCTGCATGAAGAAGCTGGCAGGGTGACTTCCTTCTGTGGGCTCTGAGGGATACCTGTCCCATGCCTCGCACCTAGCTTCTGGTAACAGCTGGCAATCCTTGTGTTCCTGGTCTTGTAGATGCATCACCAGTCTTCATGGGGCTCTCTCTTTGTGCCTGTCCCTTCACATGGCCATCTTCCTGAAAGGACACCAGTCACACTGAAATAGGGGCCCATTCTACTCCCCTAATTCACCTCATCTTACCATTTACATTTATAACAATCCTATTTCCAAATAAGATCACTTTCTAAGGTTCTGGGGATTAGGGCTTCAAATATAATTTTTTGGGGGAGGGACACAATTCAACCCATAACAATAGCTCTACTCTATATAACTCATCTAAAGTCAAGCGTATGCTCTAGAATCCTCCCTAATTTTCCCATTTACTATGCTTCTCCCCATTCCACCTGTTTGCCCATGACTCTCCTACTTGTGACACCCTTTCTACTCTCCTCTATCTACGCCTGGAATTAGGAACTCAAATGGCTGCAAGAGGCCAGGCACCTGATCAGGAGTGAAGCAAACTAGATGATAAATGACAACAGACACTTAGCTCCAGTGCCAGGGAGACAATGGATTCAGTGGGGAATTTGGACATTTCATAGAGTCTACAGGAGTGAATTGCTACTCAACTCCTGCTAACAGCACCCTGTAGGCAGGCGGGCCCTGTTTGGCCATATCTCTGATTTTTCAAGAAATACTGAAAAATCTAGATTTTTTGTGTGTGCGAGTGGATGAGAAAGAAATGGCCCGATTTAAAGTTTTGGCCGCGAATTAAATAAACACAAACAGAATGAGCTATGAAAATGTATCTACTGGCCAAGGGGCCATCATTTTTCAATCTCTGACTTACACAATTACTTCCCACTGTTGCAGGCTCACCTCAGTACCTTCTAACCATTTCATCCTTTTCAATTCATATTCTTGTGGATGTATTAGGTGATGCCAAACAACTTCTTCGTCCCTGCCTGGAGAGGGACTTGGAATAAACCGCCCCCCCCATCCTCCCACCCCCAACACACGCACACACACACACACACACACACACACACACGCGTGCGTGCACACACACGCACATACACACAACTGAAACAAGGTAATAAGTGCTTATGAAGTAGGCACTAGTTAAATAAGCTAAAAAAGATGAAAAACGAGAGGATGGAGGCAGGGAGGTGGCAATCCTGGAAGGCTTCCCAAAGGAAACGACTGCGGAAGCTACTCCTAAAAAGATACGCACTCAGACCTTTACAAGGAAGAGACCAGCCTACAGCCCTCCCTCCTCTGAACTCCAACAGTGCGAATATTTTAGACCAAATATTAGCCATGTCTGAACCATACAGTTTATTACCCTAGCTCAGTGTAATCTGCCCAGCGGGAGTGTAGGAACCAGATCTCGTACATTAAGTTACACCCACAAACATGACTGCCACAGCGCTGGGCAAGGAATAGGGTGAGTTTATGCCTGAGGGTGGGTTCTGGGTCTGGGGGAGACGCAGTCTGCCATACCCACAGGAAGAACCTGGAACAGACTAGTGGGGAGGGGCCGCGGCAGGGTTAATAAAATTATATAGGTTTCAGGTGTACGATTCTATCATACCTCATCTGTATATTGTATTGTGTGTTCACCATCACCCACGCACCAGGCACCCACACCCGGAGGCCCCAGCCTCTCCCCACTGGGAGAAAAGAGGGGCCTGCCTCCAGCCTCGGAAGATCTGCTCTACATCCCGCTTTCCTGGGGGGAGGGGGGGGAAATGGAGCGCTGGGGTCCCCAGCTCTGTGAACCAGCGAGGCCACCCCAGCCTCCCGCTCCCCTGGGGCCCCCTCCACGCCTCCTCCCCCCGGCTCCAGCTCCTCACTCCGCGTGGAGCCGACACCCGACGTGCTCCCCACGGAGGCAGGCCCCTACCCCCTTCCGACCCCGCTATGCCCACCACCCCGCTGTGCCCACCACCCCGCGCGTCCCCCTAGGCGCCTCCCGCGGGCTCCGGTGCCTCCTCCGCGCAGACTGGGCCGGCTGCGCCCACGCTGGGTCTCTCTGGAGTCCTGTCCTCCAGGTTCTGCACCGCGCAGCCTGCTGCACCTGCCGGCGCTAGTGCACAAGGTAGCACAGAGGTGTGGAGTCCTCCGGAGATCCTAGACTGGCCACCGAGGGTCTAGGTGGACCACACCATCAAATACATCAAATACACTTTTACTTCTACCTTTTAAATAGCGCCCTCCCCCCCGCCCCCCCCGCCCCCCCGCCCCCCCGCCCCATTGTGGTCTCAAATAGAGATAAACAATCTTCTTTTTTCAATTGATTTTTTACAGAGAGGAAGAGAGAGGGATAGAGAGTTAGAAATATTGATGAGAGAGAATCATCGATCAGCTGCCTCTTGCACACCCCCTACTGGGGATGTGTTCGCAACCAAGGTACATGCCCTTGACTGGAATCGAACCTGGCACCTTTCAGTCCGCAGGCTGACGCTCTATCACTGAGCCAAACCGGTTTCGGCGAGATAAACAATCTTCTGAAGTCAGAAAGCTGACCGACTTAGGAGCTGTGTGACTTTGGGCAAGTTTTTAACCTCTCTGAGTTCCATTTAATGGGTCATCCTCCTTTCTGACACTGGTTTTAAATGCTGTTTTTATCATTAACTAAATTTACATGTGTTTGGTTATGTATTTTGAGTATGTTTCTGTTCACTCATCTACTTTGTGTTATTTATTGAATTTATTGGGATGACAATGGTTAATAAAATTATATAGGTTTCAGGTGTACGATTCTATTATACCTCATCTGTATATTGTATTGTGTGTTCACCATCAAAGTCAAGTCTCCTTCTGTCACCACTTATCTCCCCTTTACCCTACAACACACACACACACACACACACACACACACACACACACCCCACACCTTAATTCTTGGCTTTTGGAAGAGCCCAAGCTTAGACATCTCTTGTTGGGACACACAGTAGTTTCATCTCCTGAGAAATTCTCCATCCTCACTCTTACAGAGTTTGCTCCCTTGTTTATTGACTGTTGATTGGCCAGGGTGAGAATGGCCCTACATTGAGCTAATCAGTTATACTTCCCTCATTCAGTCTCTTCTGTGATAGTAAACTGTTATAATTATTGTGAGCTTCTAAATAAAGTATGTTTTAAGGTCTGGTAGGGCTAGACCTCTCTCCATTTGCACTCTCCCCCTCCCCCCCGCCCCCGGGGAAAAAATGTAACTATGCACATTTTCTCTATTTCTTATTTCACTTTAAAATAATAAAATAAAGGTTTCTGGTTTTAATTTTCATTTTGTTTTTAGAACCAAGATACACTTAAACCAGAAGAAGAATGAAAATGGAGTTCCAGGGAATGATAGTAGCTACATTTTTGTTGAGAAAGATAGAGTCATGTCGAGAGTGATTTATTTTGGCCCTGATTCGTAATCCTCAGTCAGGGCACATACCAGAAGCAACCAATAATGAATGAATAAATGAGCGGAACAACAACAAATTGATGTTTCTCTCTCTCTCTCAAATCATTCAATAAATTTTTTTTAAAGAGTGATTTATTTATTTATTTTATTTAAAAAATATATTTTATTGATTTTGTACAGAGAGGAAAGGAGAGAGATACAGAGTTAGAAACATCGATGAGAGAGAGTCATCGATCAGCTGCCTTTTGCACACCCCCCACCGGGGATATGCCTGCAATCAAAGTACGTGCCCTTGACCGGAATCAAACCTGGGACCCTTCAGTCCCCAAGCTGACGCTCTATTCATTGAGCCAAACCGGTTTCGGCAAGAGTGATTTATTTTGATTTTTTGTTTTTTGTGGTTTTTTTTTTTTTTTGTGTGTGTGTGTGTGTGTGTGTGTGTGTGTGTGTGTGTGTGTGTGTTGAGTGTTTAAGAACAAAAGAACTCTCCTTTCTGAACTCTTGTGGGCTTAACACACTGCCCTGTCAGAAGTGTGCAATTGTTATGTAATTCATTTGTTCTACAAATAGGTGTGGAGTGCCAGGCACTGGTGATGCAATGAATGTTGAGCAAAACCTCAGGCCCTCTCATGGAACTTGAGCGGGAGGTATTTAAACAATGAAGAAATCAGAAACGGTAACTGTGGTGACTGGAGAGCACACCAAGAGCTTGTAAAAGAAGATTTGACCTAAGATGAAGAACGGTGAAGTAGTAGAAACCCAACTCTAACTTGCGCATAGCTTGTCTCATAGAACTGGGAAGTCAAGGGGGCAGACTGGCCTCAGGAAAAGCCAGAATTCCGGGATCTAAACACTGTCATCAGGACTCCTTTCTCTCCATCTCTTCGTCTTGCCTTTCTCTGTGTTGACTTCATAGATTTCTTTTCCCCACACAGAGATGTGTCCCAGTGCCCAGGATTATCGAGGGAGTGCCTCTGTAGCTTCTTCTTGGATCACGTGTCCAACCCTGGGCCAATCCCTGTTTCCGGGGAATGGGGTGCTTTGATTGGCCAGCTGGATTTACATGTTGGAATGTGGGAAGGGAGCCTTTACTACAAGGGCCCATAAGCCGATGGCAAGAAAAGACATTTTTGTTTGTTAGGTATTATTTTTACCAGAAAAACGAGACAGCTCTTTGGACAGGCAAAGTAGCAGATGTCTACTCCGAGGGGCTGTAGGGGAAGAGAGTTACTGGCAGCAGGAGCTACATGTGCCAGGTCCTGCGCCAGCTGACAGGTCGCCTAAGAAACTGAAGACCAATGTAGGTGGTCAACAAGAGGGGTGCAGGGTGGCATGAGATGAGCTTGGAAAGATCAGACCACAGAATATTTGGAAAACCATCGGTAGACTTTTTGGCCATATCCCAAGGGCAAAAGGAGGTGTTAGGGGTTAAATGGGGCTGGGAAAGTGAGGAGAGGGAGCTAGACCCTAGAAACTGCGAGAGAGAATGAAATGATTGTTGTGTTAAGCCAGTAAATGGGTTATGTAGCAACGGATAAACAAGAACGTGAAGCATCTGTCATTATTATGTATTTCCTCTGCCATGTTCTCAATCGTCAGTGGCTTTGCTTGTGATTCAAGCAATTTCCCCCACCGCTTTTATGAACTGTGTGGAAACCCTTCTTCCTTTGTTGCAAGATTTGCAGTTTTACTTTGAAATAAATTTTCCTTGCACAGTATTTTTATTTTTATCATACAACGTTTACATCGCCGGAGGGGACCAACATGAATATTAAGTGCGGAGGGATTTTTGCAAGGGGACTAATTGGAAGTTGATGGGTGAATATTTTCATGTTTTGATGAATTTTCCCTATCCAGGCTCATAAATGTGGAGATGTAGCTAATGAGTATTTGAAAATTGAGCCATGTTTAGGGCAGGTGTGCTTGGTTGCAATAGACAGTGAGGAAACTTGATTCCCTTCACTGTCAGAGTGATGGTTTTAGGTTGCCCTTGAAAGCTTCTCAATAATCCATGGCCCCTTTCGTAATAGTTATTAATGTCCCTGAATCACAGAGATAAAAGGCACTGTAAGATCATAATCTTGTATCTTTTTTAAAACATAGTCAGCCTTCCTTTTTCCCTTTTATCTTCTCTCCTTCTCTCCCCTCCTTCCTTTCACAAAATTTATTGGACTCCTCATATGTATTAGGCATTGAGGATACATCATTGAACAACAACACAAAGGCATTGGAAAAAAAAAAAGACTATGTGTTTTTCGTTTTTCTTTTTTCTAAAAATAAATCTTTATTGTCCATATTATTACAAAAGTTCCTCATTTCTCCCCTCCACCAAGTTCCCACCCACCCTCTGCCCTTTCTCCACCTCCCATTGTCCTCATCCATAGGTGCACAGTTTATGTTCAGTCTCTTCCCGCACCCCCCACTCCTCTTTTCCCCGAGAATCATCAGTCCACTCACCTTCCATACCTCTGATTCTATTATATTCAACAGTTAATATTATTCATCAGGTTTTTTAATTCCCTTGGTTTTTAGATTCACTTATTGATAGTTACATATTTGTTGTTCATAATCTTTATCTTTATTTTCTTCCTCTTCCTAAAGAACCACCTTCAGCAATTTATATAATTCTGGTTTAGCCATGATAAACTCCTTTAGCTTTTTTTTATTAGTGAAGCTCTTTATCTGGCCTTCGATTCTGATTGATAGCTTTGCTGGATAGATTATCTTTGGCTGTAGGTTCTTGCTATTCATCACCTTGAATATTTCTTGCCATTCCTGTCTGGCCTGCATGGTTTCTGTTGAGAAATCAGCTGACAATCGTATAGGTGCTCCTTTATAGGTAACTACCTACTTTGCTCTTGCTGCTTTTAATATTCTCTCTTTGTCTTTTGCTTTTGGGATTTTAATTATGATTTGTCTTGGTGTGGTCCTCTTTTGGTTCCTTTTGTTTGGGGTTCTGTGCGCTTCCTGGACTTGTAAGTCTAATTCTTTCACAAGGTGGGGGAAGTTTTCTGTCACTATTTCTTTCAATATGTTTTCGGTTTCTTGCTCTCCCTCATCTTCTGGGACCCCCATAATTCTGATGTTGGTTCGCTTGAAGTTGTCCCAGAGGTTTCTTAGATTATCTTCAACTTTCTGGTTTCTCTTGTCTTCTTGCTTCTGCGGAGGAGTGTCCTCTGGCTCTTTGTGTTCCAAATCTTTGACTTGAGTCTTGCGATCTTCCATTCTGTTTTTAGGACTCTATAAAATATTTTTTATTTCAGACAATGTATTCTTTATTTCTAGTTGATCCCTTTTCATATCCTCATAGGTCTCATTTATTTTATCGGCCTTTTCTAGGAAATTCTCAAAAAACCTTATAAGTGTGGTTTTGAACTCTAACTCCAGTCACTTTTTGTCCTCCATTTCTTTCATTTGTGATCTGTTTCCTTGTCTCAGCATTTTCGCTGCTTCCCTGAGTTGGTAGGGTGGCTTTGTGTGTTAAGGTGTCCTATATGGTTCAGTGGGTCAGCCTCCTAGTTATCTGAGGTAGACACTTTTGGTGCACCCCTTTGTGGACTGTATGCACAGCTTTTTGTAGTTAAGTCTTAATTGTTGGTATCACTGGGAGGAACTGACCTCCAGGTCAATTGGCTGTGAGGATCAGCTGTGTCTATACACAAAAGCCTCTGTGCTCAGCTTGGATGGGGCGGAGTTTCAGGGTGGAGCCTACAGCCTTGGCTTCCTATCAGCCCTGCCCTATGAGATTCCTGAGTCTCAGTGTTCCTCAGTGTCCTTTGGTACTCGGTGTTTTGGTACTCGCTTCAAGCACCTCTGAGAGAAAGGTGCCCTCGAGTTTTGCCCACTACCAGACAGTCTAGTCTCTCCCCCAATGAGCCCGGAACTGGGGTTCAGTGCAGTTGGAAGTGGGGTTCAGTGCAGTTTGGAGCTTTTGTCTCCTTCCTGCTATGGCAATCTAGTGGCACAGTCAACAGTCTGTCCTCTGAGCATAATGTGTGTAACTCAGAGGCTCTGCTTTTCACTGCTCCCTTGAGTTTCCGCCTTACAGCTTAGAATCCCTCTGTATGAGCCTGGGTTCCCAGGATCTTGCCCAGAACTGGGGTTCAGTGCAGTCGGAACTGGGGCTCAGCACAGTCCAGAGCTTTTATCTCCTTCCCGCTAGGGAACGCCAACTAGGCACTCGGTCACCCCTCCTCTCTGGCTCCGTCCTCTCCCCACGTTTGCACCGTATCTCCACACCTTAGGCTTTTACAGCTCCTATGATTTTCCTTCTGTTTTTCTCTTTCTTTCTAGTTGTAGAATTTCCAGTCAATCAACTTTCCTGTAGTTCTGGATGATGTCCACTTTATATTTTAGTTGTATTTTTTGAAATTGTTGTGTGAGGCTGCAGTTAGGTGTTTACCTATGCCGCCATCTTGGTTTCTCCCCGGCTATGTGTTTTTCTTATTAACAACAGTTACTGAGCAGTTACTATACTTTGCTGTGTGTGTGTGTATTTTTTTTTTCTGCTTGCACTTTTAAAAACCTCTCACCATGTAAATGAGAGACCATGCAAAGTCAAGAAAAGAGGAGAGACCCTGCTGGCATGGCTCGGTGGTTGAGCATCGACCTATGAAGCAGGAAGTCATGGTTTGATTCCTGGTCAGGGGCACATGCCTGGATGTGGGCTTGATCCATAGTGTGGGGCATGCAGGAGGCAGTGATCAATGATACTCTCTCAGCACTGATGTTTCTATCTCTGTTTCCCTTTCCCTTCCTTTCTGAAATTAATAAAAATATTTTTTTAAAAAAGAGGAGAGAAAGATATTTACATGAACAAAATAATCTAGTAATTTGTTTTAACCATTGGTTTTACTGTATGATCTGAGAAATGTTAAATTTTACCTAAATCATCTTAAGAAAATCCTTCAGTGTACAAGAAAATTATAGGGTTACCAGAGATATCTACATGGGTTGTAATATTTTTAGAAAGACATTTAAATAATTGATTTATTTTTGGTCTGAATTACAGAATACCCCCAAACAAAATAGGGCAAAATTGGTTTACAAGGGTCACTCTGCCCATAATGTGTGGTCATCTTAACGCACCAGTAGATGGCAGTGTTTTGCAGCCTTTGGTGATTGACAGATAAAAAATCTGAAATACACCTTTACTTTTTAGACAGTAGAAAAACAAGCTTACTGGTATTAGTTATACAAGAATCTTATGGCTTTTGGCAATTTCTACCATGGGAGCTAATGTTTACATCTGTGAAAAGATGTCCACAAAAAGAGTTAATTCTTAAAACAAGTTGCAGAACAATATGTTTATTTTTCCCCCCTGCTGCCTCTTTCACTTTCCTCCTTCCACAAATATTTATGGAGTACCCACCACATACTGACATGTGCTAAGAACTGGAAATATATACTGTGCAAGGCAACACTAGTGCAGCTTGCATGAATCTTTTAAAAATATTTTTATTGATTTCAGAGAGGAAGGGACAGAGAGAAAGAAACATCAATGATGAGAGAGAATCCTTGATGATTGCCTCCTGCACACCCCACACTGGGGATTGAAACTGCAACCTGGACATGTGCCCTGACTGGGAATTGAACCCAGGACCTCCTGGTTCATAAGTCGACACTCAACCACTGAGCCACGCCGGTCGGGCATGCATGGATCTTGTAGTCCCCTGTGGATGGACTATAAAATGGGCGTTGGTTCCACTTTCTCATCATAACAACAATACTACAGAGCATCGCTGTGCATGTGCTTGAGTTTCTCTAGGCCCCTGGTTCTCAAAGTGTGGTCTGGGTCATGAGATCAAAGCTAGTTTCATAATAATCCTGATGTAATTTGCCCTGCTTCACGCTTCCTCTCTCCTGAATGTACAGCGGGGCTTTCCAGAGGCAACATGGAATTTACATCGCAACAGATTTACTACAGAAGCAGATGTGAGAATCTGGGTGCCTTTGGTTAGGTTGTTTATTTAAAGAGATTCGCAAAAATCTAAGACCATGCCATGCACGCTCCTTACTAATGTTTTTGCTTGGAAAAACATTATTATTTTAATGAATGTTATTCATAGTAACATGATTTATTTTATTTTATTTTATTTTATTTTATTTTAAATTAATAAATATTTTTCCCCTCGGTTTTAATTTCCAATAAGCTAAATATCAAGAGATATCTTCTAGCCGAAACTGGTTTGGCTCAGTGGATAGAGCATCGACCTGCGGACTGAAAGGTCCCAGGTTCAATTCCGGTCAAGGGCATTTACGTTGGTTGCGGGCACGTCCCCAGTAGGGAGTGTGCAAGAGGCCGCTGATCGATGACTCTCATCGATGTTTCTAACTCTCTATCTCTCTCCCTTCTTCTCTGTAAAAAAATCAATAAAATATATTTAAGAGAGAGAGAGAGAGAGAGAGAGAGAGAGAGAGAGAGAGAGAGAGAGAGAGATCTTCTGCATAGGCAAAATCTCCTTGGTGTCCTGAGACTTTTTTAAGAGGGCAATGGAGACCTGGTACCAAGTTCAAAAGGGCACGTCTCCCGTGGTCCGGCTGCTGGAACACAAAGTGTCCATATTGTCAATTTTACTAGGTGCCGCAAAACTGCACTCCCAAGTGGCTAACACAAAACTTTTTTTAAAAAAAATCTGTATACGGTTGTTTTTCTCAGGCAAATCTCAATTTATAAAGAATTGCGGAGCCGAGGCCAGTTTGGCTCAGTGGATGGAGCGTTGGCCTGCGGACTAGGGGAGGAGGAGTCCCACGTTCGATTCAGGTCAAGGGCATATGTGCCTTGGTTGTGAGCACATCCCCGGTAGGGGGTTGTGCAGGAGGCAGCTGATGGATGTTTCTCTCTCATTGATGTTTCTGGCTCTCTGTCCCTCTCCCCTCCTCTCTGTAGAAAATCAATAGAATGTGTTTAAAAAATTAAAAAATAAAGTAAAGAATTGCGGAATTATTATTAGGCTAGTCCATTGATACAACAGATTGGGTCTATGAGATATTGATTCAGTATCTTTTCTAAACAATGGTAAGACATGCAGGTGATATTTATTTTTCATGCATTCAGAGGGAGTTTTTTCTGGTCACTGAAAATAGGGTGGTAGAGTACAACATTGAGTGTATCGGAACATTTATTTTTGTTTGGTGTCTCATGGGAGGCAGAGGTACACAAGTTATGCAAATAAACATTTTTACCCTCAGGGGAACTTCATTGTTCTTAAATACTACCTCTGCAATTTTTGTTAAAACTTAAGCCACGTTCCACTGACACCCAATTAGTAAAAAGATGCTAAGAGAGGTTGGGTCAGTGTATAGTGTGTCCACCTACGGACTGAAGGGTCCCAGGTTCGACTCCCGTCGGGGGCACATGCGTGGGTTGTGGGCTCAGTCCAACGTGCAGGAGGCAGCCAATCAATAATTCCCTCTCATCATTGATGTTTCTATCTCTCTCTTCCTCTCTGAATTCAATAAATTTTTTTTAAAGATGCTAAGACATTTAATGTTCAAAAAAAAAAAATTCAGAGGCTATTAATTTATAGGTCAATTTATAAGTGGCCAAGTTTATTTGGGGTTGTTTTTTATTGTTTGTAGCTGACCTAACTGCACTAAATGTTGGCCATAAGATGTGGTAAATACAAAAAGCAGAGTTTTACAGATGAAGGGTCAAGATGCAACAGTATTAATTGGCTGTTTCTTCCAAAGCCTTTGCATCTGTTAGTAAAATGGAATGTGACCACAGTCACATGAATAACAATTACCTGTTATTTACGGTGGAGGGCTTTCGGCAGCCAAGGGTAAATCTGGGCGAATTTTCATGCCTTTTGGCCTTGGTGGCGGAGCATACTGGGGGCACTCAGGGAAATGGGTGGGACAAGTTGGAAAGGGAAGCACACCATGAATCAGGGGCCCTATCTGAGCAGTAATAATACTATTGATGCAACACGCATCACAAGAGCAAACGGAACTTATTTTGTATCTGTTGTTGGGAGATGGTCCAGCCCCTGGTGGGGCTGAGGGAGCAGAATCTTCAGCAGAGAAGGTATGTGTGCCAATAACTAGAGTTGTTAGTCAGGCTTCAATACGCTTAAGCATGGGATTCCATATGGAGGTGCTTTCAATGGGAAGGTAAGCCAAAATTGCTGGCCTTCGCCTTTTAGAGTACTGGCTTTCTTTGAATCAGTGCAAGCAATAAGGAATTTAGAAACATCTAATTCAGAAGAAAATGAGACCCAAGGAGGATCATTTATTTGAAAAAACAACAACAAAAAACATGCCATATGTATGTTTTTGCTTTGTTTTGTTTTTTTGGCCTATTCTCACCCAAAGATACTTTCCCATTGATTTTTAGAGAGAGTGGAAGGGAGGGGGAGGGACAGACAGAAAGAAACATTGATGTGTCACATAGATTGGTTGCCTCCCACACAGGCCCCCTGACCAGAGCCAGGGATCAACCAGGGCCGGGGATCAGAGACACAAGCTTGCAACCAAGGTCCCGTGCCCTTGACCAGAATCAAATCCGGGACCCTTCGGTCCGCAGGCCAACGCTCTATCCATTGAGCCAAACCAGCCAGGGCTAAAAAAATATATTTTTTTAAACTCTCACTCTGTGTAGACACTGACCTGATCATGAAGCAGTACAGCGAACGGGTCATTGATCATATCCAAACCAGGACACTTTTGAGAGTAAAAGGGGGTGCTCTTAATATTACACCGAGATATCAAACAAAAGCCAAAACTGTCCTGGGCAAACCTGAACGAGCATTCAGCCACCCTAAGACATAATCCTAATCCTCAGGAGCCCAACAGCCAATGGGAAGGAGAGATGTGTAACCACAAGGTGGGCCACCGTGCATTGTGATAAGTGCGAGAGAAATGCCGAGGAAGGGAGCTCGGGCCCCAGAGAGGACAGAGGACAGAGGATAGATCTTTCAGTCCGCAGGCCAACCCTCTATCCACTGAGCCAAACCGGTTTCAGCTGGGTGAAGAAGCTGGCAGAACACAGGAGCCTTGGAGTCGAGGTAGGTAATTCGTTCTTTCTCATATACAGTATGTTGAACTTGAGGGGACAGGGGAGAATCATATGGAGATATCCTGGCAGCCACTCAGTCTGGAATTGAGGAGAGAGAGCTCAGCTAAAGTCTGTGATTTGGAACTTGTCAGAACAGAGTGGGTACTGAGCTCATGGGCATCCGTGAGGTCATTCATGAGTGTCTGGAGCAAGACGAGGGCAGGGACTGAGCTGGCTGTGGATGGCTTACCGGACATGTATGAGAGGAGAGCATACATGTAAAACACCTCCGTCTGCTAACTTACTTTCTCTAATTTGAGAAGAGTCCTCTCTTTGGTTCTAGAAGGCCATAGTGAGAGAACCACTGGCCTAAAATCAGGAGGTACTGACAGGCAGCTCCCTGGAGTCTGGGAAGAGGTTAACCTGGGAGGAAGATGTGTTCCCGCTGGTCAGCGCTGGCTGAGGGAGGGAGCTGGATGCGCAGGAACACGCTTTACATCTCCCCAAGAGGAGCTCACCCAACAGTCACTCCCCAGGCTTTTCGCAGGCCGCCTGCGCTCCCTGCAAGTCTGCTCATTCGCTGCGTTTCCCGGGGATTGCTTAGAAATCAGCGTCTTGTGAGTCTGGTTAGAAAGTGTCGAGTCCTAGAGCTCTAGTGCAGTGTTTTTCAACTGCTGTTCCGCGGCACACGATGTTGCCTGGTGTGCCGTAGGTGCAGACAAGACAAGAATTTTATAATTTTTCACTATTTTGTTTACTTAATATTTCATAATAAAGTAATTATAAAATACTTTCTTTGTGTTTATTTGATTCCTATTCAAGAGAATTACTTTATATATAGTCAATATAGGCACAGAGTTAAATTTTTTAACATTTTCTAATGGTGGTGTGCCTCGTGATTTTTTTCATGAAACAAGTGTGCCTTTGCCCAAAAAAGGTTGAAAAACACTGCTCTAGTGGATCAACTCGAAAGAACTGCTGGGGTTCAGGGATCTACTGACTTAAGGCTCAGGGACCACACCAGGGCACTCACTTAGCAGGACACGCTCTGGCACCTCCTTAGCTGCAGCACCTCACACTGCAGGTGCTGCCCCCCAGACACACAGGGACAGAGACCTGGAGGGAAGGGGCTTGGAAGCTGTGATGACAGTCACGGAGGAGGGCCTTAAGCCGGAACTCTCATCTTGAACCTGCCATTTATTCGCCCCTTTCTTTCCCGTTTCCCACGATTTTTCCCGGGAAGCCTACCATTGCTGCAGCCCACTATACATATGGCAACATGGCACCTTATTTTAGGCCAGTGGTGTAGCATCTGTCCTTTGCTGGTTCTTCTGGTGCAACTGGGAAGCACAGGACAACATCCGGGTGAGAACTTGACTCTCTGTGGTCAGGCTGGTAACGTCAGAGAGACACTGGGTTTGAGGTGTGTGTAGGTGGGGAGGGCTCACAAGAACAGAAAGCGCTGCCCACCCTTGAAGAACTCGCAAGGCTGACGCAGTGACTTGCATGCAAGAGTGCTCACCCGCATCGCAGCTACCACCCCAGACGCAGACGCTCCCACTGGAGGCAGGTGGGGCTGGCAGAGACAAGACCTTGTGCTCCTGGAGGTGGTGCTGGGATGGGAACTTGGGAGGCTCTGCACCATCAATGCCAAGCTTGAAGATCCCTTAGACTAAGGTGACCAGACGACCCGATTCTTAACAATTTGTCTCGCATCCCGTGACATTTTAAAAGAGTCCCGATTTTTTTTGCCGAAACTGGTTTGGCTTAGTGGTAGAGCGCCGGTCTGCGGACTGAAGGGTCCCGGGTTCGATTCTGGTCGGGGGCATGTACATTGGTTGCGGGCACATCCCCGGTAGGGGGTGTGCAGGAGGCAGCTGGTCAATGTTTCTCTCTCATCAACGTTTCTAGCTCTCTATCTCTCTCTCTTCCTCTCTGTAAAAAAAATCAATAATATATATATATATATATATATATATATATATATATATTTTTTTTTAATATATATTTTTATTGATTTTGTACAGAGAGGAAGGGAGAGAGATACAGAGTTAGAAACATCGATAAGAGAGAGTCATCGATCAGCTGCCTCTTGCACACCCCCTACCGGGGATATGCCCGCAACCAAGGTACATGCCCTTGACCGGAATCAAACCCGGGACCCTTCAGTCCCCAAGCCGACGCTGTATCCATTGAGCCAAACCGGTCTCGGCAATAAAATATATATTTTTTAAAAAGTCCCGATTTTTGGAAAGAATGCACAACAAGCTAGGGAACGGTGGGAGAACAGGAAGGGAATATACAGTTTTCAGCGGCCACGTGACTAGTATTTAGCCAGGATATGAGTTTTATATTATTTTTGTTAATTTTATAATGTTAAACTTTAATAATAACAAATAATTGTTGAGAACTGATTAGCGAGAACTGCTTATCAAAGTTCGCATTGTTGATCAGTTGTTAGGATTCACTCAAATGAGAAATATGCCAAAGAATAAAATAATACTATACATAATTTTATTTATTATATTTGTAAATTGTATCTATGTTGACATTTAAAAATATATATTACAATACTATTTTTGGGTTCTATGAAAATTTTTGTTGCTCCATATAGACCAAATTTCTAATCAAGAACCCAGCCCCCCCTGTCAGTGGTGTCCCGCTTTACCAATGTTAAAATCTGCTCACCTTATCTTAGACCCATACAAAGAAGGGAAGGATAGAGGGAAGGGGGCCGAGAACAGAGCAGCTTTCCCCCGTGGGAGCCATGAAGCCCAGCAGTCCTTCCTGCGGACACTCACTCAACAATAAGCTCAGGGCCTGACTCAGTCTCCAGGGCTGAGCAGCCGCATCCTTCCCTGGCTGCAGTCATTTGATGCTCATCGCTAGGGTTCAGAGAGTGTGTGTCTTACAGAGCTGTACAACGTTACCACTGCTTCTGGGACCTGACACGTGGAAGTTCAGCCATTCCTGATGGTCTTAAAATAAGCTGTGCGAACTCTTTTCAGCTTGCCAAAAAGAAGAAACAGTTGTTTCAAAATGATGGCTGTCCGTAGCTGCAGGCATTTCAACGTCATCATAGTCCCCGTCAGGCTCGATGTAGCTCGGGATGGAAACCGTCTTCACATTTCTATCTTTATTTACCAATGAGTATGTCGGCGGTGGCTGACTCGGGGTTTCCTGTGGGGCTAGAATACACACAGAGGCCCTTACATGCAAAGCTCTTGTGCGTGTGTGTATTTTTGACCAAGTGGCTTAGCATTGGTTTTCACGGGTAGTCTTTCCGTCTCTTGGTGGACCAGATCCCCATTTTACAAAGAAAGCCGAAGCACAGACACAACACGGTCTCAGGATTACCCAAGTGAATAAATGGCAAATATTGGTCAGACATCTTGACGGCCACGTCCCTCTGCCTAAGACTGCACTGCAGTGGGAGCCATGAGACAGAACCTTTGACCAGCAGCCAACCAAGTGAGTAGGCCTGTGTCTACAGATCCTGATTCTCATAAGGAAGCGATACGAACCACATTTCCTTCTTGGCACATCCCTCACAATGACTGGCACTGTTTTCTTAAGTGATTGCCAATTGCTCATGTATGACTCTCACTGGACTCCTAAAAGTCCAGCAATTAGCAATCATGCAAGGAAAAGGGAACAATGATGTTTCGAAAGGTTAACTCAGTGCAGCCTGGGTACATAGCAAAAGGACCAAAGCGGCTCCAGGAAGGATGACAAAACAGCTCAGCTCCACTGTTCATGGGTGTGGGAACTGCCTGGACCAAAGTCTCATCTTTTCCTCAGAGAACCAGGAAAACTGCCACCATTTCTCTTTCTGCAGAGCTCTGCAATTAGACAGATCTGAGTTCATGTAGACAGATCCAAGTTCATGTCCAAGCTCCAGCAGTGTGACCCTGAAGGAGTCACTTAACGTCTCTGTGTCCAAGTATCCTCACCTGTCAAGGATAATAATAATGTACCTGCCTCCTAGAGTTGTTGAGAAATTAAGTGAGATGATGCCTACAAAGGGCCTAGCCCAAGGCCCGATATGCAGTGCATGCCAAATCAATGTTGGCTAATATTATTACCTATCCATCCAAGTACAACATTATTTATTCATTATCTACTAAGCTCCAGACACATCCTAGGAGACATAAGACACTTTGGTTTCATAAAGAACATTAGCAGGATTGCTCTAGATAGGGAGATTCGGAATGGCTTCTTTGAGGTGGTGCCTGGGAGATGACCCTTGAAGGATGAGGCAAGGCCAGCTGCTCAAGGAACAATTGGAAGCCAGGCAGTTTTTCTGAGAGAAGGGTGAGAGGCCCAGTGACAGCCCCACGATTCTGTTCACTCATGATCTGAGCTGGGATTTGAATGTGAATGTATAAGTTGAATTTGGGGAGCCTGGATACTTAGTCTAACCCTTTTACACTTATTCCTCTCTTTTAAACAGGTTGCTGCCATCTGCAAATCCTAGGCTGAGGGCTCATGTCCCACAACATTTGTGTCTTGAAGCCCTAACCCCAGTGAGGCTGTACTGAGAGATGGGGCATGTAGGGAAGTAATTAATGTTAAGTGAGGTCATAAGGCTGCAGCCCTGGTCCACCAGGATTAGTGCCCTTATCAAAAGAGACGGCAGAGAGCCCTCCCCATCCTGTGAGGACACAGCAAGAAGGCAGCCATAGAGAAGGCAGCCATCTGCAAGCCGGAAGATAGTCCTCACCAGAAACCAAATCAGCTGGCTCCTTCATCTTGGATTTCTAGCCTCTGAGACTGGGAGAAAATAAGTTCCTGTGGTCTAAGGCAGTGGTCGGCAAAGTCATGAGTCCACAGAGCCAAATATCAACAGTACAACGATTGAAATTTCTTTTGAGAGTCAAATTTTTTAAACTTAAACTTCTTCTAATGCTACTTCTTCAAAATAGACTCGCCCAGGCTGTGGTATTTTGTGGAAGAACCACACTCAAGGGGCCAAAGAGCCGCATGTGGCTCGCGAGCTGCAGTTTGCCGACCACGGGTCTAAGGGACCCTGTCTACAGTACATTGTTATGGGCAGCCTGAGCCTGGATAAATTTGTTACCCTCCCCTGAATGGGACTGTTATCAGCAAAATATACTTACAGTCACTGTGTTGAGAAGGCAAACCCCTGGGTGGCAGAGGGGGCAACTGGCCTGGTGATTGATCGATAACATTCCTGGGGAGAAAGAAAGAGGGGTTAGTGTTTAGTTTTGACGATGCCCGCTGTCCGTGGACTGAAGGGAGAAACATCAAGGTAAGTAGGGAAGTAATTCAAGTCTCAGTCCCTGAAACCTGGAAGCCTTACCTGCCCTTTCTGGATCTTACACCCCATTTGTAGCTGGCACCCTAAAGAAACCACTTCCCGTAGCCCTGAGAGCAGCTGGGTTTGAGGGAAGGGCGTTGAAGTACTATAACTTAGAGCGTGGAGCGCCCTGTCCTGGGCACCCCTGAGCTGGCGAAGAGCGGGGGTAAGCACCAGCTCTGTTTTGATTCGCAACATGGATGTATTCCTAAAGCTAACGGTACATGCATCATGTGACAGCAATGCCACCACTGGATATACACTCTACTGAAATGTGTGCATATCTTCATCTGAATGTTCATAGCAGCACTAATCATAACGTCCCAAACTGGACACTCGCCAAATGCCCATCAGCTGTAGAATGGACAAATTCACAGGGGTACCCTCTCACAGTGGAATGCTCTATAGCAGTGCGAATGAGCAATCTGTAACCACACACAGTGAACCTCACAAAATGCTGAACAAAAGAAGCCAAACACCAAAATAACACACACTGTGCAACTCCATTTATAGAAAGCCTAAAAGCAAGAAAGAACTAACCTATCCTATTTCAGGTAGTGGTATTCCTGGTGGCAGAATTACTGAAAGGGAATATAAGGTGCCAGCAACTTTTTTTTAAAAATCCGGGTGCCAGCTACCTGGGTCTGTTCAGTTTTTGGAACAGAGTTGTGTACTCTGACTGTGTGCCATTTCCTGTATTCGTATTGCGCTAAGAAGTTTCAACAAAAAGGTAGACTCCAACCCAGACCCCATTCCTCTCTCTGTACTCTGATTGTCAAGGCGGTCCTAGATTCTTCTGAGGAAGTTTGGGTCTCCTCTGAGGTTCGGCTGCCGATGGAGTGGGGGAAGGGACACATGGCAAGAGCTCCCTCAGTGGCCTTTTCTGCACCCCTCATGGCTCTTCCTAGGAGAGGAGGGGATGTGCCTGACTCCTAAATGTGGGGAAAGCCCAGCTGCTCCCATGTTCTCCCCTGGAGCAGGCCTGAATGCAGAAAGCACGTATTCTGTTCTGGTCTTGGCCATTCAGAGAAAGGGTGGCCCTGAGGGTTGGGGGGGGGGGGCAGAGGGGACCTGAGATGCTGCCCAGCTGCCTGTGCACTGAGCAGGGTCTCCTCGTTTTGAATGAGAAAAGGCACTTGCCCAGGGAGAAGCGCCCCAGTCTGCCATGCCGGTTTTGTCCTCAGTAAAGGCAACATGTTGGTTACCTAACTGCATGACATGGTGGTCTTACTCCTCACGGATCAGAACCGGTGGGGGAAGAGGCCTGCTATTGTCTGGACCCCTTGAGCCCCAGCAAAATTCCTTTTAGTAGAGCCTAGATTTCATTTCAGACCGGTGTGTACATTCCAAAGGAAGGACTGGCCCTGGACCAGCTCCTGGGAGATAGCCTCTAAGCTCCCCCGATAGTCTGCCTGATAAGAGTGGCTTTGTGTACTGGCAGCCTTGGGCCAGCCAGATAGTCTATGCTAACAAGTGACCGATGAGGGACGCCTGCCTGCTAGTGTTTGCCAAGGGCCTCGGGTCACGCTGTATCAGTTTGGCTCCCAGAGAGGCTGGAGGCCGAGGAGATAAAATAGTTATGGGGCGCTCTATGCCTATGTGAGCCCAATAAAACCCCAGAAATCCAGGCTCAGGGGAGCTTCCCTGGTGGCCCTGCTTCGCACAGGCTGCCACAGCGCATTGCTGGGAGGATGCAGCGCTGTCCATGGGATTTCACCGGGAGGGGAACTGGCAGCTGGTGCCTGGCCTCTCCTGGACTCCACTCTACGTGCCCTTTTCCTTTTGCTGGTTTTTTGACCCTCACCTGAGGATATGTTTTTATTAATTTTTATTTTTTATTTTTAGAGAGAGAAGAAAGGAGACAGAGAGAGAGAGAGAGAGAGAGAGAAATACCAATGTGAAAGAAACATCCATCAGTTACCTTCCGTATGCATCAGACTGGGGATTGAACCCACAGCCTCGGTATGTGTCTTGACCGGGAGTCAAACCCATAAACTTTTGGTGTATAGGCAATGCTCCAACCCAGTGGTTGGCAAACTCATTAGTCAACAGAGCCAAATGTCAACAGTACGATTGAAATTTCTTTTGAGAGCCAAATTTTTAAAACTTAAACTTCTTCTAATGCCACTTCTTCAAAGTAGACTCGCCCAGGCCGTGGTATTTTGTGGAAGAGCCACACTCAAGGGGCCAAAGAGCCGCATGTGGCTCGCGAGCTCCAGTTTGCCGACCACGGCTCTAACCAACTGAGCCTTCGGCCAGGACCAGGGCTTCCTTTGCTGGTTTGACTCTGTGTCCTCTCGCTGTCATAGCCCATACCGTAGCTATAACACCTTTTCTGGGTCCTGTAAGTCCTCCTAGAGTAGGGGTGTCGAACTCAATCAGAGAAGGGGCCAAAATCTAAAATCCAGCCTAAATCGCGGGTCGAATGGTTTACTGAACAGTCATAAACTGTCATTGTGATGGAAACGCAGCGGAGTGCAGTGATGACAGCGCGGTGTGGGCCACATTGCAAGGCCTGGCGGGACGGATTTGGCCCGCGGGCCTTGTGTTTGACACATGTGTCCTAGAGAATCCTCTAGCCTAAGGGTGGTCTGAGGGACCCCACCATAGAGAGCAATTTTAAAGCTCCAAAGATATTACAAAATACAAAAGTGAAGTTGGTTTTTGTTCAGCGCAATAGCTTTTAGAGGATCATATTTGTAATCCACTTAAAAAAGAAGGGCAGAACTCACCCTGAATGGGGGACCCAGTGCCCAGAACCTGACCTATGACCTCTAACAAAGTAGATTACAGTCCTAGCTGATTTGGCTCAATGAATAGGCACATGTGTCAAACACAAGGCCCGCGGGCCAAATCCGTCCCGCCAGGCCTTGCAATGTGGCCCGCACCGCGCTGTCATCACTGCACTACGCTGCGTTTCCATCACAATGACAGTTTATGACTGTTCAGTAAACCATTCGGCCTGCGATTTAGGCTGGATTTTAGATTTTGGCCCCTTCTCTGATTGAGTTGGACACCCCTAGAATAGAGCATCAGCCTGGAGACTGAAGGGTCCTGGGTTCGATTCCAGTCAAGGGCACATGCAGGGGCTGCAGGCTCGATCCCCAGAAGGGGGGCATGTGGGAGGTAGCCCATTGATGTTTCTCTCTCATCATTGATGTTTCCATCTCTCTTCTCTCTCTCTCTCTCTCTCTCTCTCTCTCTCTCTCTCTCTCTCTCTCTCTCTCCCCCTCCCTCCCTCCCTCTCTGAAATCAATGTATATAAAAGAAATTAGATGACATGAGGGAGGAGTTGGGGAGCAGAGAGAGACAGATGGTGCCCTGCACTCCCAAAGCCCTGAGACATCTCCCCTTAAAGTGGGGAGACTCGACAGACATGACATTTCTCTGGCTGCAGAGGAAAAGCAGGCGTCAGCCCTCGCACAGCAGCGTAGGCCCCGAGTGGAAGTGAGCAGGCGGTTCTCAGACATGAAAAGCAGAAGCATCCCCCCACTTACTCATACATCATTTCTTCATCGTTATGCCTTTGATTCAAGGGTCTAGCAATGTTCAGTTTCCCTCCTAAGGAAAAAAAAAACACAACACCAACAACATCATTCACTTAAGAAGAATTAGCAAAAGTTGTGATTTTAGAGTTTAAAAATCCTCAGAAGCCAGGCTGGTTCGGGGCATTTGGAAGAACCACCAAGAAGAAACAGATTTAGGGACACAGAGCCCAAAATCGGTAGAGCTGGACTGTAACCCGGGCTGGCTGAGCTAATCCGATGAGGGCGAGAGCACGTGGGCTGTGTTTATTTCCTCGTTGCCTGGTACTGCGCCTGGCACACAGACGGCATTCAGAAATACAGGTCAAATGAGTAAGTGAAAGTGCAGTTGGGAGGAAATGACACAAAGAATGGGAAAAGCAGTCTGCCATTGGTGACACGCTGGGCATCTCAGTTATTGATTACAGAGTGCTTGTGAACAAAAGTGGGACAAGATAAAAGAAGAGGTAAAAGTTTTTGTTCAGGCATATACTTTGGTCTGTACCTGAGAATGAGACATTTTAGGAAGGCAAATGAGTAGAGGAATACATATTTTCATTAATAAGACTAATTAAGAAAATAAAATAAAATAACTAATTGCCATGAAGGGGTAGAGAGAAAAGAATATTAAACAGGGAGCTCCGTGGGCCTGAGTTCTGCTCCCAGCGCTGCCACCAACCCCTCTGAGACATCAGCCAAGGCTTCACCTCCTGCGGAATCTTTTTTATTTTATTTTTTATTTTTAATATATTTTATTGATTTTTTACAGAGAGGAAGGGAGAGAGATAGAGAGCCAGAAACATCGATGAGAGAGAAACATCGACCAGCTGCCTCTTGCACACCCCCCACCGGGGATGTGCCCGCAACCAATGTACATGCCCTTGACTGGAATCGAACCTGGGACCTTTCAGTCTGCAGACCGACGCTCTACCACTGAGCCAAACCGGTTTTGGCTCCTGCGGAATCTTAATATCCTCATCTCTAAAAGAAGGTTCAGAGGCCCTGCCAGTGTGGCTCCGAGGTTGAGCATAGACCTGTGAACCAGGAGGTTATGGTTCGATTCCCAGTCAGGGCATATGCCCAGGTTGTGGGCTCGATCCCCAGTGCAGGAGGCAGCTGATCAATGATTATCTCTCATCATTGATGTTTCTATCTCTCCCTTTTTCTCTCCAATTAATAATAATAAAAAAGGAAATAAATAGAAAAAGATTAAAAGAATGACAACCAGATTTCACTTCTTGTGCGGCCCTCACATTCAGGCACTGGGGTAAGCAGGATTCTGAGGCGAGTCCAGATGCAGCAGAAGGTCAGTGCCTTGATCCTGGAGGGGTGCCCGCCCAGGGTGCTCCTGGGAAAAGAGGCTGGACTGTGTATTTACCGTCCTCAGAGGTCCTCCAGGCTTAGGGCACTATGTAAAGGGATACAGCCTCCAGAAAACACACCGCCAAATCAAGGGTTTCATGTTTCTGGTGATGAATGTAAACATGGAAAACCACTTGTCCTTAATCCACAGTAAGTGCCAACCTCCAGGCAGCTGATTATTTATGTCTGAGGATGCCAGGCACCTCTGGCCAAGGTGGGTAACACCAGAATTCAGAGTATGATCTTAGAGGAGAAAATCATGGGAGGCAAACCAGTTGATCATAAATCGAGTCTATATTTCTTGCCTCAAGACCGTTTTTTAAAAAAAAACCACGTGTTGCGGGATGGTTGGCGTATGGAAAGCTTTACACCTTGAAGGTGTACAGCGTGATGGGTTTGGAATCGAGGCGGTTTTGACTCTACACAAACCGGTGCTCTGCTTCCTGTCTCAGAGACGAGGTGCTGTGCTCAGCAGCTCAGTGAAGAGAGAAAGCCCTGGAGCACGGTGAGGCTCCAAACAGGTCCGCCCTCACCCATGGCCTTTAGTTAACCTCCCTCCCTTCACTATGCAGATGGGGAAACTGAGGCCAAAGGAGACACGTTAGTGGCAGGGCTCAAGCTGTAACCCAGAATGCACCACGCTTCATCCAAAGTTCAGCCCATACAGGCCTGGAACTAATCTTGCTCTTAAAGGAGCCCGAATGCACTTCTGAGCACCCCTCTACCTGCCCAGGTGAGACGGCCGATACCTTGTCTGAGCAGCCGCCTGCAGACACAGAACATGATGAGGCCCAGGACCACAGAGACGATGATGATGGCCACCGCTAAGATGATCCAGAAATTGTCCCTCCACCAATCCATGGCCGTGGGTTCCTGAGGAGACTGGAGATGGAGGAATGAGGCGTGAGTGGAAGGCATGCTGGGGCGGTGGGGGCAGTTACCGGCCATGTTGGTGAGGACACATCTGCTTAGGGGTCAGACGGGCACCGGCTCACAGTCAAGTCCTGCCGATTAGCAGCTGGGAGACCGCAGGCAAGTCATGTGACCTTCTGTGAGCCTCGGTGTCCTGGTCTGCAATGTGGGAGGGATGCGGCCTGTGACTTCCCAGGGGGTTTGGGAGGGTTTGAATAAGATTGGGACTGACTTGGCACTCTAGAAATGAAAGATGCAATCACTGATTTTTTTTTTTTAATATATCATCAAACATACAATAGGAGGGAGAAATGCCATGTAAAGAAATAACGGACAGCAGTTTTAAATTTTTTTTATTTTGCCAAAACTGGTTTGGCTCAATGGATAAAGCATCTATCTGCGGACTGAAGGGTCCCAGGTTTGATTCCAGTCAAGGGCATGTGCATTGGTTGTAGGCACATCCCCAGTGGGGGGTGTTCAGGAGGCGGCTGGTCGATGTTTCTCTCATCAATGTTTTTAGCTCTCTATCCCTCTCCCTTCCTCTCTGTAAAAAAAAAAAAAAAAAAAAAAAAAAAAAAAAAAAAAAAAAAAAAAAAAAAAATCAATAAAATATATTTAAAAATTTTTTTTTAATTTTTATTTTGTTGTTGACAGTATTATAGATGTCTCCCATGCAGGTTTCTTTTTTCTATTTTTTAAAAATTTGTGTCTTTTTTTTTTTTTTTTTAAATCTTTACTGTTGTAAGTATTACGTGAGTGCCCCTTTCCCCCCCATTAACTCCCTCCAGGCCCCCTGCCCAAGGCCTTCAGCATCATATGTCCGTGTCCATGGGTTATATATACACACATACAAGGTCTTTGGTTGATTACCTCTCCCCTCTTACCTCCCCCACCATGCAGCTGTTTTTATATCAAACAGGCAACAGGGGCTTAATTCACAACATGGAGAGAGAATCTTGGGAGTTTTTGTTTAAACAGGTGGGGTTGGGGGGGTTCCCCAATGGAAAGTGACCAGTGCCTCTGTGGGACCATTCTGCCTAATGTCGGCTCTGAAATGGTTGCACTCTTCTGGTCCCAAACAGAAGGTTTGTAATAAAATCTTCCGTTGAATTGCACAACCGGGGCTTGTATGAACAGGACCTGGAGAAAAATGACACGTGTGCAGCGGGTTTCCAGGCCAGGGGTGACACAGCGGCAAGCAGAGGGAATGGTGGCTGTGGGCCCCAAGGGACAGACAGTGGGAGCAGGCTGCAGGACGAATGTGGGAGTGGCCTTCAGGAATTCAGGGAGACTCTGGGGAGGGGCTGGGCTCCCTCTCCCATGGAATGGGCACCCCGACAGTTCATTTGGATATTGAACTAGAAATGATCCCTGAGGCCTGGGAGAGATCCTGGAATATCCTGGTTATGTGAGAATCAGCTTCCTTGTCACCATCTAGCCAATGGAAGCTCACCAGGGGGGCTGATGTAGCACTATTTCTGATTCATTCATTTCAGAGAGAAAGGGAGAGGGAGAGAGAGATAGAAGCATCAACAAAGAGAGAGGCTCATTAATCAGCTACTTCCTGCATAATCCCTCCTGGGGATTGAGCCCACAACCCAGGCATGTGCCCTTGACCGGAATCGAACCCGGGACCCTTCAGTCCACAGGCCGACGCTCTATCCACTGAGCCAAACCAGCTAGGGCCTGATTCATGCTTTGGAGTAATATTAACAATGTCAATAGGGACCCAGGCAGGGGGCAGAGGAAGCCATTCTCACCATGAGGACCTTTCTGACTCGGCTGCTATTTAAAAATGGACGTTACTGGCACAGTGTGGTCATCTATGAAGTTGTTACACTACAATTTGGATTTTCAGTTCCAAATTTTGTTTTGTTTCCTTAGTGGAGGTTTGGCTTAATCAGATATAGTGCTCTTTGCCTATTAATAAACTTATGTGTGGCAAAACCAGCCATGCATATCCAGCACAGTGCTATACTCATCATTCTGCGGTTTCCTTTTTTGCTCAACATTGTTTTTGTCATTTGTCCATATTGGTAAAGGTGCTGGGGATTTACTCTTAGGACAGCAAAGGGTCAACGACCAGAAAGCAGGGATAGCTCGTCTGCCAGGCAGGCAGCAGGCAGAGGTTTGTGGTAGATCACCCTCAGGACACACAAAGTACCGTATTTTTTGGACCATAAGACGCACTTTCTCTCCCCCCCCCCCCAGAAGTGGGGGGAAAATGTCCCTGCGTCTTATGGTCCAAATATAGCCTACACATATACTTTTAAAAAAAAAAGTTTTTTTACTTGCTCGGCTCTGTGTGGTCTCTGTGTGCTTGCCCGGCTCTAAAATGGTTCTAAATGCTGCTGTTTACTTTATAGGGTTGATTACATGTGTTTATGACTGTGATGTTGGGTTTTAATGCACATAAAATATTTTAGGACACTATTTGTTTCAGAATCTTTTTTTTTTTTCATTTCCCTTCTCTAAAAACTGGTGCGTCTTATGGTCCGGTGCGTCTTATGGTCCGAAAAATACGGTAACAGAGGAAGAAGAGCAAAGGGGAAAAGAAGCCATGGAGACTAGGAACTTGACTTTAAATGGAGCTGTGAACATGGGTTTTTCAGGGCTCAATGAGGCCAGAGGGCACTGGACATAAGAAGCTACCATGTGCCCGGCCAGCGAAGCTCAGTTGGTTGAGTGTTGTCTCATGAACCAAGAGGTTGCCAGGGCTCAATACCCAGTCAAAGCACATGCCCAGGTGCTGCAGGAGGCAGCTCATCCATGTTTCTCTCTCATTGATATTTCTCTCTATTTCTCTCTCTCTCTCTCAAATCAATAATTTTTTTTTTTTTTTTTTTTTTTTTTAAAGAAGAAGATGCTGCCATGTATCAGAGTACGGCCTCTTTGTTCAACAAATCTAAATTAGAATCTCACTTTAAAAAAAAAAGAAGTCTTTTATTTCTTACTTGAAAAAAAATTTATTATCATTATTTTTTGGAATCTTACCTTCTTAACTCTGGGGAACCTGATAAACAGATAGGCGAGTGGATAGTCAGATAAATAGGATTTCTTCTCTCCCTTTTTCCCTTCACTTTTCACAAATTCAAATGCGAGTCTCTTTGTCGAATTTTCCTCTCCTATTTTGTTCTTTTTGTCTCTTTGTCTTACTTTTGAGGATTTCTCCACAGAGCAGCACGAACATCTCTGTAGAGCACCAGGAGTAAGTGCCGGGACACAGGAGTTCAAAGCGTTTGCATCTGAGGAGCCTGACTGGGCGGCAGGAGGAAAGTGGGAAGACAGGGGGCTGTGACTCTAAACCGTCTGGGTTACGTGATGTTTCAAAGCTTTGAGTTTGGTAAAACGGAAAAAAGAGCCAACCAACCACACAGTGTAACTTCCATGAAAAGCCACAGCTCAGATTTTAAGTTCAAAGAAATTACGTCAGAAAGTGAAACTACAGGCCGCTTCGCAGTTTTGTTCTGACAGAGCGTGTGGATTTGATTTTCCATCAGATGCTTCGAGTGTGTTCAGGGCACCCAGCCGTCCACACTGCTTTCCCACCTCTCCCCTCACCCCAGCCTCGCCTCCGCTCTCCTTTCCACGGCGCCAGAGCGGACACGGAGGGGACGCGGCCTGCCCCAGGCCACCTGGGCGGGGAGGAGGGCAGATGCTTTCTGTGCGACAGAGCCTTCCTCTGTTGACCTTAGTCAGGATGCTCCCAAGTGATCAACGAAAACCAAACGGGATTCAGGGTATTTTACTTTGAGAGGAACTTCCCTGTGGTGCTGATATGTGGTGTGAGGAGCCAAGGGAGTCCCCGGAATGACTGAGGCCCACATTGAGAATAAGCCCCCCAAGTTCTTAGAATCCGAATTCTCAGACCAGAGAAACAGTCACCTTCCCCGTGGACCCCCGTCAGCAGAACTTGTCTTTTTGGAGAGAGTGCAGCCGAGGAAGTTGTGTGTGTGTGTGTGTGTGTGTGTGTGTGTGTGTGTGTGTGTAGCACATCCCATTCCCAGTAGGGTGTCCTCTGGGCCATCAGCGTAGTGTCATGGCCAGGGTGTCCTCTGGGCCACCAGCGTAGTGTCATGGCCAGGGTGCCACCAGAGCGGTGAGAGGAGTTCTGGGAGCGATGGCAGGAGTCCTGCCAGGGGCAGCGTGTGGTAGCTGTGTGATCCGGTCAGGCCCTGGAAGGTGTGCGAGCCGAATCCCACCCGTGACAGCGGGCCTGGAGGAGATGAGACGGTGGAGCCACCGCAGCATGGGGCAAAGGGGTGCTTGTATGAGAGGATGCTGGCAGTCAGCTCAGCGATGCCGCGGGGTCTCTCCAGGGTTTTCAAGAAACCTCTCAAGGGCCAGGGGCTCAAGGACCAGGGTCTTCACTCAACACCACAAACCAGCTCAGCAGGAGCAGCCCACTGACGGGAGATTTCCTGAGAGAACTGCTGGCCCCCATCTTTCCTCCTCTATCCGACCCCAGAGGAGAGAGTGCAGGGGAGGAGTGCAGAGGGAGCCAGGGCAGCCTCACCCCCCTCTTGACTCTCTTCACTGGGGCCAAGGGGAGAGCTTTGAGTCAAGGACTGAAGTTTTAGAAAAAGCACAACTAAATGTTTAAAATAGAATGAGTAATCAAAAGTAACTTAAGTGTTTAGCGTTGAACTGAGATGTCACTGAGGGAGGCCGCTCCTCACTGGAACAAGGCAGGAGCCCGGGCAGCAGCATTTAGGACCAAGTCCTTTCTGAGGGCCGTTCTCACAAATCACCACAAACATAGCATAGAGCCTTAGAACACACAAATGTGGCCCAGCCAGTGTGGGTCAGGGGTTGAGCGTTGGCCTATGAACCAGGAGGTCACAGTTTGATTCCCTGTCAAGGCGCATGCCCGGGTTGCAGGTTCAATCCCCAGCAGGAGGCGTGCAGGAGGCAGCTGATCAATGAGTCTCTCTCATCATTGATGTTTCTATCCCTTCCTCTCTGAAATCAATAAAAAATATATTTAGCCGAAACCGGTTTGGCTCAGTGGATAGAACGTCAACCTGCAGACTGAAAGGTCCCAGGTTCAATTCTGGTCAAGGGCATGTACCTTGGTTGCAGGCACATCTCCAGTAGGGGGTGTGCAAGAGGCAGCTGATCAATGATTCTCTCTCATTGATGTTTCTAACTCTCTATCCCTCTCTTCCTCTCTGTAAAATATCAATAAAATATATTTTTAAAAAATATATATATTTAGCCGG